ACAAGTTAGATTAAAAAAAAAACATACGACCCGTTGAAATTAGCTAAGAAGCATAATTTTATTATATCGACCATAGGATTTACGAAATGTTGACTTCAAACGAGTTTGTTGGAATGTCAAGTTCAGAATAATAGAACAAATGATTAAAATTAAAAGTAAAATGTATCAAATGAATGCAATGGATTTATGTTTACTTTTATTATAAGATCAAACATCATTGCTTTGTAGCGACTATGCCGCCCCCTACAGTTGTAGGTCATAAATAAACAGAAGTAGATCGCACCATCACAAAAAGTACATTGTAAGTAAACATTATGTAAAACTGGTTCACAAACACATTTCTGTTGCTGTAAATTCCAAAACTCTAGTAATTGCTACCTTATATGTATGTTTGAATTGTTAATATAAGGGAAGCAATTTAAAACTGAAATTACTAAATGAAAATGCCAGAATGAAGATAAGTGAGAAGGTAAAATTGTCCTTAGCAAAATTTTTACAAGACTGAAAAATTGTGAAAGCAAAGATTGATTGATTTATGTTTTTCACTCATATAGAGTTTCTTGCAATTCTTTTGCTGAACAATATTTTTCATTACCCCCTTCGGAAAGCATTCTTCCTAAAGATATTATTTCTATTGGGTATGGTTTTAAATTAACAGCCTAACAGTTTTATCAAAATATCTGAAACCACAGGAGGTGGAAATACCTTAAATTAACATATTCTCTGGTTACAACATGCGATGCACCTTTATTTGTTCAGCATTACTTTCTCGTTATTTAACTAGTGACAGAAACTAATGTGTAGTCCAAAAAATTAAGAAAAGATTTTGTAAATCAATAGAAAAAAATATGCTTATTTATGGCACGCCAAATTCACAAAAATGAGCTAAACTAAGTTAATCGACTGTAAACTATAGTTAACAAACCGTGAACTATAGTTAACAGTTCGTTAACTATGATTTCTTTTGTAAAACTATATTTTACGGTCGATAACTATAGTTTACGAGTGTCAATCTAAGTTTATCTGTCTATAATAAAACGTTGATAATAGATTTTGTTGATAAACTGTAAACTATAATTTACAATCGTGAACTATAGTTAAGAGCTGTTAATCATAGTTTCACAAATCGTGAAACTATATTTATCAGATCGTTAAGTATAGTTAAGAGTTGTAAACCATAGTTTACAAATCTTGAAACTGTATTTATCAGATAATTTATGTTTTGCAATCGCAAATTATAGTTTACGGTTCTGAATCATAGATTATCGCGTTAACTATGGTTTACGGATGTAAAATATAGATTAATGTTGTTAACTATAGTTTACAATCCGTAAACTATAGTTTACAACCGATAAACCTAGTTTATCGACTGTGAAACTAAGTTTAGCTCATGTTTGTGAATTTGGCATGTCATATTTATCAGAAGTTGAATGGTTATTTTCAATAGTGTTGACAAGGTAAGTTAAAAATAGCTGATGTTAATTATGTACTGGTGATACATAATTAGAATTTCATTTTATTAATTTGGATTTCAGAACATGGTGATAACATATTTCGTGAGTATATCATTCTTTCCTAAAGCTTCTTTAACGATAGAGCATCTATTGGCTTAGTTCGTAGAGAGCTTGCTCCGTAATTGGAAGGTCGTGAATAGTATCTCGGCCGCGACTGACCTACATAGGAACTGTGTAAATGTTCCTTCGTCAAATGCTCGGCATTAAAAGTGAAAGTTCTTGGTCCTTCGGATGGACATTCAAAAATCGAGGCCCAGTGCAGGCGTTTGTACGATGAAATTTATTCACTGATCAATGGACCTGAATGCCCAGTAAAGGTCAAAATATGTAGTCCTTCAACTTGTATGTGGTGATGTTTTTAAACGAGTGAAACATTTCTTTAATGGTGCGTTAAACAGCAAACAATCAATTACCGGGGTATTGTTCTAGTATTTTGAATTAAATTAAAAAAAAAAGCATTTTATGAAATTTTTTTTAAAGCTGTCCAAGCTCTGAAAAAATATAGGTTGTGGTACATTACGGTTGATAAATCGAAAAAGAAGTTAAAAGTTAAAAACTTAGACGTTAAAAACATAAACGATCTCATAATTTTGCAAGCAAAAATCAAATTATGGTAATATTTCTTTTATCAAAATACAATCAAAGTTACTTATTGCATGTGTATTTCATTAAATTCAATAATTAAAATACTTAGCGTAAACCGTATGTGTCAGCTGACTAAAATAATTTTACGAAATTTGGTATATGAAATCTTATGTCGATATCCTGGTGAGCTTGGGATAAAAGAAACCACAGAGTCTGACACATCTGTTCCATATTTGGATATTTTACTTGAAAAAGATGTCAATGGTAATCTAACAAACAAGCTGTATGATAAACATAATGACTTTAACTTTTCTATTGTCAACTTCCCTTGCTTATGCAATACCTTCATCACCTGCATACGGAGTTTATGTATCTCAAATGATTCGATACGCACTAGCATGCTTTACGTATGAATAAATTCTTGAACGAGGTAAATTATTGACAATGAAGTTGATGAAACAAGAATATCAGGAGTCTTGTTTACAATGGCCATGTCAGCAAAGTCAAATGGTGACTGGCGTTTTTCATTCTAATTGTTAGTTCATTGTTTATACATTGAGTTGACGATGGATTTTTCCGTTATTTCCTGATCATGTCAAGAAGCACACGGCGGGTGTGACCGGTGTCTGCAGGTGATGCTCACTCCACCATGACATCTGATCCCACATCTGATGTTTTGAAGGTCCTTTTTTGTTCTCCTCTTCTTTTATTATATTACTAGTAATCTGGAATAGTGTTTGATTCTCCATATGTTTCATAAGTAAAGAGGAACAGTATTGTAAACGTATTACATTTAGCGGTGTATTCTATTTAGCGATTTTGGCGGAAAGCAGAGTCCGCTAATTCAGGTACATCGCTAAATGTCTTGTATATTAACTTTTATAACTAGCAAACTCAGACAGCGCTAAATCAAATCTACGCTAACTTTTTGAAAATTGAATTTCCGCCAAATATCGTACACGCCAAATGTCATACATTTACACTATTTAAGCTCAAAAATCCATAAAACAATACAAATCAAGAACAGAGCAATCAGAGGTGGATTCAAGTTTCATTGTCAATTTAGCATCCCCTGCAGCTGGCCGTGTTCTCCTTGTCATGACGGGGAAATAACGGGAAAAATGCTTAATGAAGGATATGGAGATAACGAACAGTATTCAATCTCAAAGTCCATAAAACAATACAAAATAAGAGCAGAGGAAACACGGACCCCCGAAACATCAGAGATGGGATCAGGTGCCATGGAGGAGTGAACTTCCCCTGCCGACCGGCCACACCTGCCGTGTGCTCATTGTCATGATTAGGAAATAACGGAAACATTCGTCGTCAATTCAGTGTATAAATAATGGACTAACAATTCGTATGAAAAACGTCAGTCAGCGTTTGACTCGATGATAAATTGTATTTGCTGACAAGGTCATTGTATCGTCCATAGAACTTACAAAATGATGACTTTAAACGAGACTGCTGATATTCTTGATGATATTCAGTGATTATATCCAGTTATCGTTAATTATCGGCCTTTTAAAACTCATGCTCACCCTCAAAGTGACATAAATCTTCATTTTTTATCTCAGACTTTTTGTTAAACGTGACTGCTTATATCTAAAGAGGGTTGTTCGAAAAGTTCGTGGACTTCTGTCATATCTTTTAATATCTGCCGTCATATGTTATCCAAATTTGGTAGAAATATTTTAACAATAAATTCAAATGATTTGTATTAGTTTTTTTTTTAAAAAATTATCACGATTTATTAAAAAAAAAACTTATCCAAGTGTAAAAAATACAAAAAAAAAAAAAAAAAAAAAAAAAAAAACGCATCACGAAGCAGAATAGAAATTTAGTAGCTTACAAATAATACACTAAATAATATCTTCTCTGTAAAATGGAGATATAATGAAAAAAACCCTAGAAATTCTAATTAAGAATTGTTACATCGATATGTATTCCAAATAATGACGTAATAGTTTGCTTTATTGAATAGAAATCAACTTGAGAAGACAAAAAACGATGACGTTTTAGAACGTCACAGAGCATTTGATACAAATGCAAATACGAATGCAAATGCAAATTACAAATACGATGCAAATTTTGTGTTTTACTCAGAAAAAATCCTTAAATAAACTCAAAAAATGTTGGAGGAATCATAAAAAATGTCACAAGCTGGTTGTGCATGTGTGTACAAATAGAACTTGCAGTGTTTGAGTGACAAAGACAGTACATCGGATGAGGACAATCTGTGAAGAAACGATTTAACTGTGAAAATCTTAACAAAAGCTTTTAAAAGTTGGAACGTCAAGGAAAGACATACATGTAGTCGTTTCAGAGTTACTTATCCTGTGAAAACAGAGTTGAGTGATAAAAGAAATTAAAACCTTAACAAAAGAAATTATACAACGAGAGCAATTCTTAAAAAATAAATATCAAGTATTAGTAAAAGGATTTAATGAGTGATTTTGGTTATACTGTGTGAAATGTATAGGGATGGTTTTCTTTCTTCTTTAGATATTCTTGACTCTAATTTTGACATTACAATACCGTTAAATGTGCTCCGCGGGTATAAAACATGTTGATTTTAAAATGAAGTAAATTGCAATTGATTTTTGTTAAATCCAATGGAATGAAACTTCACACATCAACAAAACAAATATTTTCACATATTATGTTGTGTTTATTTAAAATTTCTAGTGAGTAATATAACGATGATTGATATCGTCCACGAACTTTTCGAACAACCCTCGTATAAAAAAATATAAACTCTAACAATGTATAAAATTGCAGAAACTCTGAACATTCACAAACTATAGATTTTCAGAATGTTTTTATGTACATATGTTCAAACAAAAGTAAAGTATCACTTATACTCAATGGAATATATAGTCATTTCTCTTTATTAAGTTTGCGTCCCAAATGGATATACGCAATCTGATGTGTATGACACTTATAGCGATGTCCGTGAATGGCCAAAGTGTCTTTGATAAGCCTAGCCTTCGGGAAAAATGTCCATTGGTTAATGTGGAGGAGGTGGAACTACTAATCAACTCCGCAGCCCACAAAGTGATAATGTCTTACTTAAAAGATACAGATTCTCAGTTCAATCAATACAGGACAGAAATGTATGATCTGAAGAAGATGCTGCAAAAGAACTCTTTGGAAATTCAATTGTTGAAAGAGAAAATTGAAAATCAAGAAGACTTGATAAGGAATTTGCAAAACAATGTGGAGGCGCAGGCTGTTAAACAAGGTAGCTCTCTTTTCAAATTCAGAATTAAATACTAGCCGTATTTAATTAAACTGATTTGGTAAGAATGTACCACTTTTTTCAGTTTCTACATTTCAAGTCTGCTGTATGTGAAAATTGTGTATCTTCTATGTATTCAGTTTTTTGACAGGTGCGCGACTCGTAAACGGAAGTTCTTTTAGAGAGGGTAGAGTTGAGGTCTACAAAGATGGCGTATGGGGAACAGTTTGTGATGACAGTTGGGACTACAGTGATGCCAATGTGATCTGTAGACAACTATTTGGATTAGTTGGGTATAACTACCAGATATCTTTGATGTCCCTCATTCGATTTTATATTGTTTAAGGAAGTAATATTCTAGAGGTTTTTAATTTATTGAAGGAAAAAAATTACTTTACTTATTTACCATGAGCATTTTTGGAGATCAAATCTAAACAAATAAGAAATCAGAAAAAGTGATGAATGACATTTTATGATTGGATATGGTGTATGAAATGGAATATATGGAATAACGAACAATATTCAAGCTCAAAGCTCCATTCAAACACAATACAAATCAAAAACAGAGCAAACATGGGCATATACAACGTCAGAGATGGGATCAAGTGCCATGGAAGAGTGAGCAACCTTTCCTCATAATAAGAACAAGAGGCCCAGGGGCCACAGCGCTCACCTGAGCACATCAGGCTTGAATTTACTCCCCCCAAAGGCGTTCATTATTTGAACAAACTAGTTTGTGACCCTTGCCCCTGACAGTTGAACAAAGTTGAATCTACACTAGAGAATGATGCCACATGTTTCATCTTTCCTGCCCATCTGATTTTTAGACTATATATTCCTATGTAAAATTTGGCCATTTTAGCCTTGGGAACAAACTTATCTACACTACCTGAGGATGATCTTTGATGTCCCAGTGGTTCTGAAGAAGAAGATTTTTCAAGATTTTTTATATTGTTTAAGGAAGAACAAACTTGAATACATTCTAGAGGTTTTTAATTTATTGAAGGAAAAAATATTACTTTAAAACTTATTTACCATGAGCATTTTTGGATGATTCCACATGAAATCTAAACAAATAAGTATATTCCTAGAAAAAGTGATGAACAAACTTGAATCTACACATTTTATGAGATTGGCCCATATGAAGATTTTTAAAGTATGAAATGGAATATATGGAATAACGAACAATATTCATCTTTCCTGGCCCAGTGGTTCTGGAGGCTCAAAGCTCCATTCAAACACATCTTTCCTGGCCCAGTGGTTCTGGAGAAGAAGATTTTTCAAGATTTTTCCTATATATTCCTATGTAAAACAAATGAACAAACTTGAATCACACTACATGAGGATGATTCCACATGAATTTTATCTTTCCTGGCCCAGTGGTTCTGGAGAAGAAGATTTTTAAAGATTTTTCCTATATATTCCTATGTAAAACTTGGGTTGGCCATTTTGGCCCCACCCTTGCCCCGGGGGTCATGATTTGAACAATCTTGAATCTACACTACCTGAGGATGATTCCACATGAGTTTCATCTTTCCTGGCCCAGTGGTTCTGGAGAAGAAGATTTTTTAAAAATGCCATTAATTCTTATCAAATACATGATTATCTCCCCTTGGAAAAGGGCGTGGCCCTTCATTTGAACATACTTGAATCCCCTTTACCTAAGGATACTTTGTGGCAAGTTTTGTTGAAATTGGCCCAGTGGTTCTTTAGAAGAAGATGAAAATGTGAAAAGTTTACGACGACGACGACGACGCCAACGACGACAGACGACGGACAAATTTTGATCAGAAAAGCTCACTTGAGCCTTCGGCTCAGGTGAGCTAAAAACAGAAAGGTGCAAAACAATTGAAACAAACATTAATATCTTTTCAAAATATTGATATATATATATTATTTGGGATTGTTTCCATTTTTGTGCTTTTTTGTTAGCGGATGGAAAAGGGAAAAAAATGTCGGATGCAAACGTTAGTCGTATCAGTTTAAGACTTGTAATATAACAACCAAGCTCTATGATAAACGTGATGTCTTTAATATTTCTATCGTCAACTTCCCTTACTTATGCTGCAATATACCTTCATCATCTGCAAACAGAATTTATATATCACAGTTGATTCGATACGCAACACCCCTACTAATGTTATTGTGATTTAAATTCAAGACACGTGGGTTAGCTTTACCTATTCGAAGGCGATAAGGTAGAACCGGTTTTATAAATAAAATTGGCAGTAAACAGGGAATTGTTACAGTTTGTTTCTTTTGAAAACATGTCCTGTGAAAAATGTGTTTCCAGACCTTCCTGAAAGACTTTCATGATTTTCAACAGAAATGGGTGGCTAAAAGGGGGGGGGGGTTAAATACGGTAACAATTAAATTATCTAACCGTATTTTACTGCAAAAATTACAGCTCGCTAGCGACCGATACGCTGGTAAAAATTTATAATATCATCTACACTGACAAAACTTTTTTTTCCTTATATGGCTATTGCTATCAATGCGCACAGAGGATCTTACCACTAGCAACTGACCAATAATTTTTATTGTTGATTGAATATTGTATGATCATGTCAATGGAGTGCAAAATAAGAAAAAATGTTCGTATGAACAAAATGCAAACATTCGAAACTATGAAAGATATTTTAATTTGTTGTAAACTAGAAAAAGAAATATTAGTAAAATGTATACTAGTTAGTTCAAGTTCAGAACACCAGCACTTCAAGGGTACGGAAGATGAGCAGCTTCTCGTATGCATTTAAATGGACAAAATTTTTACATGACTTCACTCGTGATCACGTGTGTGGGAATCCACCTGACAATTGTATTCACCGATAGTAGAATAAAGGAATTTATAAACCGTAAAATTCCTGGATTATTCGTAGTAACCTACAATGCAGTTCTCATTCAGCTGATTTGTCAGCTAAAGTCACATTGGTGCCTCCTTTGCTAATCTGACGCCACAAAATATAGTCCCGGTTTCCATGCAAAATATTTGTCCAAAAAGAAATTTTTTATTTCATTACAGCAGATAATTGTATCATAGAGAATACTTATAAATTAAATTTTAATGAATTCAAGAGAGATCAATTGAAGTTCATTTCTAGAGAATGATATTATAGGGTGGTGAAATCTAAAACGCAACATAACTTTTCTGTTTACCATGTCTCCACGTGTTAGTCACTTCCTAGCCACATTTCCGTGAATAATTTACCCTATCTCGCTGTAGTCTCGCTAACTCTCGCCAGAGCCTACTGCCAGAGCTGCTCTGAACTCATCGGGTATTATAATTTGCAGAACACCGAAAAATAAAAGGTTCCGAACACATTAGCAGGGGTGCGCAAGAGCATTCTCTACGTATGAACAATTTCTAAAGCAATGTAAACTGTTGACAAACAGGTCGATGAAAGAAGAATATAAGACCCCACCTCTGATGTTTTGGAGGTTCTTGTTTGCTCTGCTCCTAATTTGTAATGTTTTATGGACTTTGATATTGTTCGTTATCTCCATTTCCTTCATTTAAGCATTAATACTAAATGCTTAAATAATTATAAAATATAAAAGATACGGCAGGATTAAAAAAAAAACAATCTGTGGCAGATCAACTTTTGACATTTCATGTAGTGAATTGCCAAAGAGAATGTGATTAAAATTTGTGAAGTAATATTAAACAGATAAATCAGTTTTAAAATCATTAGCTACATTTTGTATCATGAAGTTATTTACAATATATTTCCTATTTCCTTGGAAGAGATTCTCTACGTGCGATTTATTTATAAACAGACAAAAACTGACAAATTGGAGTTTCAAGTCACAAATACAGTATTTTACAAAAGTTCTATCGAAATAATATCTTTTACTGCAATGCATATCAAAAATTTGAATAGCATGCATGTCAGAAACGTTTTAAGCAATATGAGCTACAAATATATTTTTATCTTTTATGAAACCTTTTATTGGATAATGAATGTTAAATTTCCTGTTCATCGTCTACCTATAAAGGAAGTCATTTTTTTTTTTTGATTATTCAAATTTCGGTGAGACAGAAAAAAACTTCCTTCTTGAATTTCATTTAGTCAATTGTATAATTTACAGTGTAATACATGAAATTTATTTTCAACAAAGTTGAGTACTAGTATATTGATCTCACTTGACCAATTATATATATTAACATTTGTCAATTAATTTTCTTATGTAATATTTCAGGTTCATTAATCTTTTTTCAAACGCATAAAATGTTGGCTTCGACATTTTTTTCTATTTCAAAGTATCCATTGCTATCTTTCTTGACCAATTTGTTTAGAGAATCGTGAAAGTTAAATGTTCGAAAATCAGGGTACATTAATCATATATGCAATTTTTTTTTTACAGAAGTCCGTATTCTTATGCACGTTTTGGACAGGGAGTTGGTATCATTCAGATGGATGATATCAATTGCTACGGCTTTGAAAGCTCCCTATTGCAGTGTACGCATACAAATCATCTGAACCACAACTGTGGTCACTCGGAGGATGCTGGTGTTGTGTGTATGAGAGGTATTTGTAACATAACTTTTTTCAGAGGTAGATCACTTGCAGACATATGTCTGAATTGTTGATGCCACTATCTTTAGTTTCAGTTTTAATTTTAATCAGTTCGTCTTCTCCAGAACCATTTGTTGTATTTTAACAAGTAAAAAAATGTGTTATTAAATGTCAATCTGTTAACGTTTTCATCATACTTTTAACAAAGTAAGAGCTAGTGTCTATAATTTCTTTAAGACTTTTATGTCCATAATGGACTTTTTTCAAGTCGTATACTCCAATTTATAGTTAGGGTCTAAAATATCACCCTTTTATGTGTAGAATATAGGCCGGGCCTTTTCATAAGCGATTGTTCAATTGATTATGTAAAATTATAGAAGATTATTGCCTTAGTTTTAAATTACTGTATCTAATAACAGTATTGAGTAGAGACAACTTTTAGAAAAGCTATTAATGTTCCTTTCTCAGAAAGTCCGAGAGATAGAGAGAGAACTGGTAAACTGCATCGACATGTCAACTGCACACTTTCTGTTTACTTTAGAGAGCACAAATAAACAAAATTTTTAAAATATTTTTATAATTAAGATTAAGATAAATAATCATTCAAAATAATTATTAGCCTAATTCTTTTTTCGAGCTTGGTAATTTTATATTAATTTGTGCTTTTTCGAAGTCTGCTTATGTATCTTAAATTTGTATCTATAATATTTTAGCACCACCTATACGACTTTCAAGACAATTAGAATTTCAAGGACGAGTAGAAGTTTACAAGTACAGTGAATGGGGAACAGTTTGTGATGATGACTGGGACCATAGAGATGCTGGTGTTATTTGTAGAAGTCTAGGTTATAGTGAGTAAGTCTGTAATGCAACCTTCAGTTCTAATAAGTTCATTTTATTATTTTTTGAACAGTGCAAAGTCTGTCCGTCTTTCTGCTTGTCTCTCCGGAATACTAGTTCTCATTGATAAATCGATGATACAGGTATTCAAAGGAGATGGGAGAACTTAGCGTGCAAAAAACTCACTAGTTTCAGTTATATACAATTCATATTTAAATTGTGAATTTAATATTTAAAGTAAAGTTCTCGTTATTGATATTTATGAAATTACGATAAACAAAAAATTCTGAGGAAAATTAAAAATGTTATTTTTTATTAAAAAAAAAAATAATGTGGTATCCATTGGATTAGATTGATTGATTGATTGTATATTGTTTAACGTCCCTCTCGAGAATTTTTCACTCATTTGGAGACGCCACCACTTGCCGATGGAGTGCAGGAAATTTTGTCCTATACTCGGCACTCAGGGCCATTGAGCAGGGAGGGATCTTTTTCGTGCCAGCACCTACTGCGACACGGGACCTCGGTTTATACGGCCTCATCCTAAGGACCGGTCTCTACGTCCCACAGTGAGATTCAAACCCGCGACGTAAGCATTAAATTCGAGGCCTTGCAATAAAAATCCTGAGTAGCATTCTCTACTGACACTAGCAGGCTAACCACTACGCTATGCAAGTCCTGATAAAGGATGGCATTTAATTCATGTTAGTGATATGACCATTGACTTAGTGGACTTCAAGTATTTTTCGAAAAGATACGACAGTTATGTCATATAATTACTAGTATATTTTTAAGATATAGTAGGTCTTTGCTCCATCAATTTGGAAACCAAAATATGTATATTTGTATACGAATTTTGAGGATTAAAGTCTTTTCACCCTAACAATTTTTATGGTTTAAAGTGCAAACATTGAATCTATTTTCATTTAATAAAGTTTAGATTTACCAATTATTGTCTAAAATGTATAGGTCGCCATATTATTTAAGATGGGAGACGTAAATAAACAGAAGCAAATGTCAACATAAAAATTCATACACTTTTTGTAAACAGTATCATAAATATTATGTAAAAACTGATTCAAATGCATAATTCTGATGCTGAAAGTTCTTAAATACTTGATACTTATAAGATATTTTTGAATTGTTGATATCAGGGAGACTATTTTACATTAGAAGTACAATAAAAGAAAATGCCTGAATAAAACTGCCTTAGTAGGAGTTATTGCCCTTCTCAACATTTTTTTTAAAGATTGTATAATTGATTAAAAAAAGAAAACATGCATTTTTTAAATTCTTTTACTTAACATTCTACCACGATTGTTGTAAAGATTAAAGAAAACCGGCGGACATTATTCTCCAATAAATCACGAACGTCATCAAAAAATTATGAGATCAGAAACACGTATCAAATCTGAACAATTCAAATGCATGTTTGGCTGTAGAATGAAATACTTGTTAAGACCGCATCGATGTGTCGTCTTTTGCAGTATAAACACTGTAAATTGCATAAAGTTGCTGATGAATGTCGGTTTTTATAGCTAAGAGGGGCTATTCCACGGACCTCCCTACACATTTAAACAACGTGATTTTAGTCCCAATAGAGTAGTAAAACAGGAACATAATTTTGTTATTGTACACTTAACAAAACTTCTAAGTGTCCACTTTAAGGGGGATGTACAAGCCATATTGGATCTAGTCTGGTGTAAAATAAGAAATACCAAGAATGCGCTTAATACTCTACTAAACTAGCCCAAAGTTACTCAAAGTGCTAATGCACTCATTACCTACTATTAGAGACCAAAATTAGTCAACAATTAAGTTTATTTTGTTTTAATTAGGAGGAAATTTATCATGTTAGAACTGCGCAGCTACAGCATTTACAAGATGATAAATGCATTGAAAATGGTGTTAGTTTGATTCATTGATAATATGGCTACAACCATTTGTTTCGCTTTTTTCTTGTCATTATCCATAATTCTTGAAAATTTGATTTTTCATATGGGTGTCTTCCTGAGTCCATGTGTTTATTTCGTCCGCCATTCCTCTGTCACACAGAGTTTGAATAACATTGATTTTTAGAATAAATGCGACCATAATAACATCAAGACAAGAAATTACTAAGTAATAATCATTAGGTTATATTACTTACTACTTTTATTTGTTGCATCGCATCATCTGATTAATGAAAAAATGCGATTTTAACCCCACTCCAGCAAATCGGGAAAAACTGATCTGTTTACAGTTCGAGTTTCCTCGTTCAAATTATTCCACTGAGCACGTGGTTGGCATGTGCATATATCTGTTGTGGATAGATCCGTTTATTACCATGATTATATTAAATTTTTCACGGAACAAGTCTTGATAATTTGTTGGTTTCTTTTAACACTCATTAAAAAAAGATAAAAATGTCCTAAACATATGTGTTTACGGCGGGTCTTTTTTCTGTGGCGATAGAAGTTATTTTCAAATGGGGCACTGCAAGGAGGATGCTTAGCAATTAATTTGAAAATGTTAAACAATATGCGGTGCATGAAAAACAAATTGTAATTACATGTCTTACATTCGAAAATTGGTACATATGTATATTTTAAGTTAGATAGAAAAAATAGGCAGTTATAGGATTTCCTTCAGGCACCTCACATAAATAGCTAGATTGTTTGCAATGACCAACACATTGTATGGAGTAATGTTTGGACATAAAAACGCATCATGTCTCATTAATATGTTGACAACGTTGTAAGCTATTGCTCATTGAACATACGAAGCTTGATAAAATATATTGAGTTGTTTCTTTAAAATTTAGAAGCGAGTACAATGTTTGCAAAGAATGCCATGGTCCATTGCATATGCTATGTCTATCATCGCAATAAAAAGTGAGAGCACCCCCCCCCCCGAAAATCCTATGTTTGTTTTTCAAAATAGTGCAAAAAATTAAAAAATTTTGCATTACTAAGTACGTGATGGAATATGTACTAGCCTTATAAGACCACTTGTTATAAAAAAATATTTGGTTGCCCTCTCTCCCGATCTATACTGCCTGGAAATGGCCCGACTCATTTTTTTTTTACATCCCATTACACAATATTTTTTTCTTTTTCTTCCGTTAACAATTGTGTTTAAATTTTAAGGAATTTCTTTCTCACCTATAAATACGGACCCAATAATTTTTCCCTGAGTTGGGAGAACCACCAAACGTCATTTTAAAGATGGTATAAAATATTTAATTATGTTGATTTTTTTCTTTACTTTGTAAAATTTTAATTTTGACAATATGGGCAAATAGAATTTTCGTCACAAGTACCTGCATGACGTCATTTTCAGTTGTGACATCACAAACAAGGAGCAAAACTTCAGCATATGCTATTTATAGAACTTGTGTTTGGCTATGTTTCTAATCTGAATTGTGGTTTAGTAGATATAGAGATAGTTCGAACTTTTTGATCACCCCTGGTACTAGTAGGTATTAAAACAAGGTCATTCATATCGATTAGATGTGTCTTATTTCTTTGTGTTTCATTGGTGATAATTAAAATTTTGATAGATAATATAAGTTATCTATGGCAAATTACAAACTCTTAATCTTAACTTTGATGTTGCTCATTTTTCCTTACCTGGAATCATAGATTTTAAGATTTTTTTATATCAATACGTACACTACTTAACAACTGTTCGATAATAATACTAAATAAATTACTTCAAGCCACACTATAACACTTTTCCTCTTTTAAAAGTGTTCATATTATTTGAAATATTTTGCAACTGTAATTCTCTTCTACATTTAAAGATTGTTATGTCCCTCCATATTAAGAAGAGGTCTGGAAAACAAAATTCTGTGCTAAAAATAGACCACGTGCTGCTATCCATGAACTACTTTCACGGTTCTTTACACTCTTTTTGAAGACAACGGTACCTTATTTTGAACTTGAAATTATCATTTAAAAGTGCAAAATTTAGACATTTTCTCAACAAATGGTTGTAGAGAGAACATTAATGCACAGTTTGCACATTTTTTTGGATTTTTTAAGGCTCTGCTGAATTCTGTAGCTGCGCAGTTCTAAAGAACATATCAAAAGCATTTTTCTGCAAAAGTATAGATAATATATACACAACATGCATTCAGTTATGCATATTTATTGTATCTTTATCATAAGGACTTAAAATTTGATCAAAATATAATGTATTTTAGCCATTTGAAGAAATGTTTACATTTTGTTCTCACTGCACTAAAGGTGGCCGGACATCCCCCTTAATAAATGCATTATTTTTAAAACTGCTTCATAGAATGGTATGATATTTTCAAATTATTACAGCATACGAGTCTTCTAAACAATTGTAGAAAGAAAATAAAATATCACCGATGAAAACCAATGTTCCGTGACGAAGCTTAAAAACAAGAAATCTGTACTTTTCGGCACGTGTTTTGTGTAATTAGCATCTTTTGTGATCATTATCAAATTTTAAAATCTGGTTTCACTAAAAAACACAAAACATTGGCAAAATGACCATTGAAATAGAAGGGAGAGCCGTTCAAATGTTGTTATCTGGACCATCCTTGCACCACGTTTTACTCACTTTTAATTTAGCGTTTAATTGTCATTGATATTAATCTTAAAATTAACAACCAGTTTCAAAACCCATTTAAACACATTTTTCTATAGGGTGTGCGTCATTTTTCATCCCCAATTTATCACAATTTGAAAGTTTTGGACAAAATTTAACCAAACCGGAAGTGACCTTGATCTTCGTCTGAGGCCAAAATTTCGCGTCACACCAGGTTAAAAGAGTGTTAAATTGTCCTGAAACAATCTTAGAAACATGATAACAAACAATTTCAATCGTATGAAAATGCTAAGAAATCGGTGCTTGTGACAGTCTAATATCAGCTAGAGCAGTCTGAATAATCCTTAAAGCGGTGCATATACTTGCTAAACAACCTCGGATATTGACCAAAAGGCCTCTGTGTGATGATACACGGTCAAATTCCCGGATCTGAATCCCATTTAACACATTTGGGATTTTTATCAGGAATGTCAAAGCCCCCCCCCCCCCTTCCACACAATTTCAACGGTTTGGAAAGATCTATGCAGTAGGTGTGGCAGCAGATGGGTCAATCTCCTTTTTAGGGGTACATGGTATCCAACAGTAAAGACTGTCTTGTAGAAGTTAGAGCGAGTGGTGGTCTTTCTCCATAGAGGGTTTTTTGTGTGAATTTTCATTTTGAGGGTACATCATTTCCTTGACACTTTGCTTAAAATTCTGACGAGATACTTACATGAAATTTACGCAATATCGAACTTAAATATGCATCATTAATCAATATTTAAAGAAATTATTTATTGTAGGCATTTGTTCTTTTAAACTTAAAAAATGTTGGGTGAACACTTAGAAGTTTGGTTCAGTGTATATTCATTATAACTGATCAATACATATTACGAACAAATTTGTAATTTTACAGGCGCGGATCCAGAAATTTTTTCCAGGGGGGGCCCACCCCAGTCAAAAAAAAAATCCAATCCCAGAAATTTCTTGACAAGCAAAAAAAAAAAAAAAAAAAAAAAAAAAAACCTAAACTCCTCGACCAAACGTCAAAAACCTACATAAAGTATACTTTAATGTTAGATGAAATATGAAGGAAAATTTTGATATTAATGAGATTTAATTTTTCACCTTCATGTTTGTTGCGCTATAGGCATATCGCTCGTCAAGTTCACCCAGCTCCTTTCTCGTTTAAATTCCGCCTTTCGTATGGTCATTATTTAATTACCTTGTTAAAAATATAACCTATCATTGGGTGACTTGGCTGACTTGATTCATTCAAATTGTTAGGCCTTTGTTTCCATACTGAATTTGATAACGGAAAAGTCTATCTGTTCAATTCAAGGCTTTCACGGCGGATATGACAAGTCAACAGGGGATGCTTACTCCTCCAAAGCACCTGGCCACGCATCTCGATGTTTTGATGTTGTAATAGATTGTAGAATTGTTAATCTGATCATTCTTTTATAATATTAGAAAGCTGCATTTGTAAAACTCTAAAAGAACTATTTGAGAATTGTATAATGTATTATGATCAATACCTACACCACAGGAGACGTAAATCAAGACAACCATTAAATTTTAGAACGAAAAAAATAATTGAAATGTTTGTGTCGAGATTGACATGATTTTCTCTCTTGCAAAATAAGCTTTTTATGTGTTTTGGAAAATAATTTTCCAGTATAACAGGGTCATATGCTTATCATTTATTAAAGTATCAAATGCTGTGGGGATTCAATAACAGTAAATCAATGCATTTGATGTGCATAACACCTCTTATGAAATTAAAAAGAACTGTTGATATAGGTAAGCATTTTACGCTAAATACAAATATTAAGAATACTGCAGTATTATTACAGACCTCGAACAAATTAATGCATGACAAAAGTATCTTTTTAACCTAAAATTACATATTCAGAATAAAAAAAAACATCCTTTTAATAGAAAATATTTTAATTAGTAAATAAACTGAAGTGTCATCGTTTCATAACATTACCACAGAAACATCTAAAATAGACGTTTTATGAAACATTAATTAGACATGGACTGGCTGTATCAAATGCAGTGTTTGGACAGGGAACTGGGTCTATAGTCTTTGATGATGTGGACTGTAATGGACGTGAAACTGGTCTATCTGAATGTACATTTTCTTCAACTCACAATTGTCATCATCCTGAGGATGCCGGTGTAATATGCAGACTTCAACGGGGTAAGTGGGTAAAGCTAGTGATACTCTGAAATGTAGTTCACTCAAATTAAGAGAAGTTACAACGTTTAAAATAGTATAATATGTTGAATATCTTTATACTTTAGATAATATCAGACTGTCAAATGGAACATCTGTCAACGAAGGTATTCTTGAGGTGTTAATTAACGGAAAATGGGGAGCTGTCTGTGATAGTGACTGGAATCAAAATGATGCGAAAGTAGCATGTCGGTCTTTGGGATACTCTGGGTAAGAATATTTGAATTAGACTGTATTAAGGGGGATGTACGGCCACCTTTAGTGCTGTGAGAACAAAATGTAAACATTTCTTCAAATGGCTAAAATACATCATATTTTGATCAAATTTTAAGTCCTCATGATAAAGATACAATAAATATTCATAACTGAATGCATGTTGTGCATATATAATCTATACTTTTGCAGAAAAATGCTTTTGATATGCTCCTTAGAACTGCGCAGCTACAGAATTCAGCAGAGCTTTAAAAAATCCAAAAAAATATGCAAACTGTGCATCAATGTTCTCTCTACAACCATTTGTTGAGAAAATGTCTAAATTTTGCACTTTTAAATGATAATTTCAAGTTCAAAACAAGGTATCGTTGTCTTCAAAAAGAGTGTAAAGAACCATGAAAGTAGTTCATGGATAGCAGCACGTGGTCTATTTTTAGCACAGAATTTTGTTTTCCAGACCTCTTCTTAATATGGAGGGACATAACAATCTTTAAATGTAGAAGAGAATTACAGTTGCAAAATATTTCAAATAGTATGAACACTTTTAAAAGAGGAAATGTGTTGTAGTATGGCTTGAAGTAATTTATTTAGTATTATTATCGAATATTTGTTAAATAATGTACTTATATTGATTTCAAAGAAAAAAATCTTAAACTCTTTGATTCCATGTAAGGAAAAATGAGCACCATCAAGTTAAGAATTAAGAGTTTGTAAGTTTGCCACAGATAACTTATAATATATATCAAAATTTTAATTATCACCAATGAAACACAAAGAAATTTAACACATAAAATCGATATGAATGACCTTGATTTAGTACCTACTAGTACGAGGGGTGATCAAAAAGTTCGCGAACTATCTCTATATCTACAAAACCACAATTCAGATTAGAAACAAATTTGGTGCACACATAGCCAAACACAAGTTCTATAAAATAGCATATGCTGAATAAAGTTTTGCTCAAAATGACGTCATTATGCTGGTACTTGTAACGAAAAATTGTTGCCTCAGTGGAACTCGTTTAACAAACGACTAAAATATTTATGGTATATCTTAAAAATGTCTTTGAAGTAGCATATAAGAATTTGTTCATAGTTTATTAAGACAAATGACTTCCTACAAATTCAATCAATGATTGGATAGATCGTTATAGTGAAGGAAGACAGATGGTTAAATATGATACTTGTTATATTGCCCAGTGATATTAGTAAGTTTGAAAAGGGATGTGTTTTTAATTAAGCAATATGCTATCAAAGACCTCCAATTTACACTTTAAAAAATACTTGAATATTTCAACAATAATATAACTATCAAATACCTAAGATATATCGTTTACTTTTTGATCTACCCTCGTATACTCTGTCAAATAAACATTTACAATTTTGATTTTAGCGGAGCAACATTTGAAAAGTAATGAAATCATTCAGAGTGGGTAAGGAGATTTAATGAATAAAAAAACTTTTTCTATTTGCCCTTTTTGTCAAAATTACAATTTTACAGAGTAAAGAAAAAAATCAACATTAATAAATATTTTATACCATCTTTAAAATGACGTTTGGTGGTCTTCCCAACTCAGGGAAAAATACTGGGTCCGTATTTATAGGTGAGAAAAAAAATTCCTAAAATTTTAAACATATTCGTTGACGGAAGAAAAAAAAACATGTAATGGGATGTAAAAAAAAAAAAAATGAGTCGGGCCATTTCTAGGCAGTAGATCTGGGGAGAGGACAACCAAATATTTTCATAACAAATTGTCTTATAAGGCTAGTACATGTTCCATCACATACTTAGTAATGCAAATTTTTTTAATCTTTGGCACTATTTTGAAAAACAAACACAGGAGAGAGAGAGGGGGGGGGGGGGGGGGAGGGGAGGGGTAGCCTCTCATTTTTTTTTTTTTGCGTGATAGACATAGCATATGCAATGGACTTTTCTTTGCAAACATTGTGCTTGCTTCTAAAGAACAAAGTACGGTATTGGCCAAAAAATGCCGGTTGTCAGACATGCTTCGTTCAAAACATTTTGAAAAGCTTAGAATTTTTTGAATCTTATGATATATACATGTATGCATTGGAAAAATAACGCTGAATACAGTACCTTTTATAGCAGAACGTCGAGATTTATCGAAGAATTTTGACGCAACGTCATGAAACGTTTAACGTTACACGTAAGCGTAATCTGAAAATTCTAATTTACTCGCTAGGACACAGTTGATATTACACTGTAAATATAGATTTAAGAAATTAAGTCAATATTGATACGTCATTATTGTTTTGGTTTTTTAAATTTATTTATTATCATTATTACTTACAATGTAATCCTCCACGAAGGTGTCTCCGCTTTAGTTGATTAGAATTAATCCAACAGAGGAATGGGTAGAAAAAGAAATAAACCGTCTTTTCTCTTTGAGATTTGCTTTCTTTTTATTGCATTGATTATATGGGTTCGATATTTTTTTTTAGCTATTTCTCTTAAATAAATTGAGAAAAATTCTTTACATCCGATCTAGTGAAAAATGTCCTGATAAAAAAAAATCGACGTTTCCCCGCACCCCCCCCCCCAAAAATCAGTTCTTTATAGAATATGGTATGTAATGTGCATGAACATTGAATAAAAAACTCGAATATCAAGATAATTCTTATTTATATTATTATCAAAATTTTTGGAACAGTAGTTTAGAATTCCCTCTAATGGTCAATTTTGCCAATAAAGATACTACATCATATAAATAAGAATGCGAGGGATTTCGATCCCGATTCAAAAAAATATCAGCAAGTAAACTTATTAAATTATTTAATGGGTACATTAAAACTGGTCGTTTTTTGAAATTTATATCTTGCTTGATGACAGAGGAATACTTGAAATTTAAATGCAATCCCCCCCCCCCCTTTCTGAGTTCAATGAGTTCATATTATTTATTATTTATTATGCCTAACATAATTTTTTGGGTTTGAATAAGACATGTAAAATGATATTTAATAAGACTGAAAATGAATCATAAATAAAAGTTTTGATTAAAAGTTTTGTTTGGAGGGGGATAAGGGGGTGTATAAATCAGACTCAGTTCTGACTGAATAGTATAACAGGCATTCTTTCAATTCGCTTAAAACATTTTAAACACCTGTTACGAAATATTATTGTTTTAGTATTCAGATTATTACCCTACTCTTTTCTCACTTGAGAGGCTTTCTACATTTTAATTATGAGTCCGTAAAAAATACTTACACACGTATAAGAGTCATTTTTATATATGTTTACATATTCAATGCATGTTGACAATAATGTCGGATAAGTATAATCGCTCATGGATTTTTTTTTCCAGAATCCCCACCTCCTATAGCAGCCGATGACAAATATTTATCTCAAATTCCAAATACGTGGCTTTATTTCGTTTTCGCCTATTCTAATTAGGATCAAAATATTTGAGTTGGTGGTAAGACTTTCCGTTTTTTTTCATTTCTCAAAAAAGTTTTGCTTGGTAGAAGAATGTAGCAATTTAAAAACAAAAAATCAAAACTTTCTTGTGTCTTTACTTTTCTGATAATTGAACATGATAAACCTATGATTCTCGCAATAAACAAAAAAAATCTAATGGGTTAATTACAATACAATACAGACAGGTATTTCCTATGTGTAAAGTATATACTAAACATGTAAAATGTATTGGTCCATGAAAAGTAATTTTAGTCATTTTCCACAGAAATGAATGTTAATAAATAAAAATGTGCAAAAACAAAAAACAAAAACAAAACAAAACCAAAACAAAACAAAGAACAAGATCAACCTGCAACCTCCAACCCGGGAATTAACACGGGTCTTTCATAAGTTGGCCCATGACACCACCCTCCCCCATAAATAGGTATTTCCTCTTCTGAAAATGTTGCAGTGACGTAGCATCGTTTTTGAAAGTGAGGGGGGAGGGGGCAGCCAAAGATAAAAAAATAACTTACCTAAAAAGCTGACAAGCAAAACAAAAAATATTAATGAAAATAAAAAAAAAACATAAAAAAGGGGGGGTGGGGGTGATTGCCCAAACTCGAAAGTCATGTTTCAGGGGGGAAAGGGTGTGTATGTGTGTAAAGGCCAACTTCTTTAGTACCATTTTTTGATATTATATATACTATATGTACTTTACCCTTAATTCGCTGTACTGTAACAAAAAGTGGAGGGGGGGGGGGGCAACCGGCCTATCAAAGAGCATTTCCAATTGTAAAATTTATGTTTGGAAAAAATCCCCCCTCCCCTGTTGCTACGTGCCTATGTTGAATTTTTTTGACAGAAAAAAATGAGTCGTTAGATTCCTCTTTAGCAGTGGTGAATTGGCTTTTCTAATTCTACATGTAATTCCTTGTATGTCCCAATATACCCCATACCGTTTCTATAGTACAAAATGAATAATGATATGGCGTGGTTGGATTTTATCATACATAAACGTGTATTAATATGTGGTAACTAAATATAGTGCAAATATTAAAAATAGATGCTAGTTTTTCTACATGAAGGTCATGATCACAAATTAAGAAATTCAAATGTGATTGTCTATGCAATCGGAAAATACGGATTTACCTGGATTTAAGTGTGAAATACATTTACATGTATCTGTGTATATAAAAGACGTACTGTTTACGAATATCACTAATTTCATGGCTTAATTGCAGCACACTCAGAATTTTTTCGTTGGAAAAACAAAACAGCAAATGTATCTGCTTTCCTTCGTAACAAAGAATCACGTGGGTTCTATCTCATCCGTTTGACTCTCTACTGTTACATGTAATCTCTTAAAAATCTAAAAATCCAAGGATGAAGGGTAGAGGAGTCCTTAGCTTGATCACAAGTCAGAAGCTGGGGAGTGTCGCTGACCAATGTCAGATAAATTTAAAATTCCACAAACATGCGCATCATTGTTAAGTCTTTTTTTTTTAACCAAATAACCACTGGCTTCTAAATATATATTTCTGTAAACATGTAATATATGACTCTTCATCGGCGTCGGAAGCAAACTAAAAGTGGGGGCGGGTGGGGGGGGCTAAGTGTAAGAAAAAAAATTTAGCCCCCCCCCCTATAAAAACTGACAAGCAAGAAGAAAAGTTTATGTCCATTGTCCAAACACGAAAAACCTATTTCGTTGGGGGGGGGGGGGGGGGGGGGGGGGGGGGGGGGGGGGGGGGGGGGGGGGGGGGGGGGGGGGGGGGGGGGGGGTGGGGGGGGGGGGGGGGGGGGGGGGGGGGGGGGGGGGGGGGGGGGGGGGGGGGGGGGGGGGGGGTGGGGGGGGGGGGGGGGGGGTGGGGGGGGTAAACCTACGCAGTAATGTTCAATGTCTATTAATACTAAATCTATCTTTCAAAAAAAAAAATCTGCAGGAATTATTTGCAAAAAATTATAATCAATAAACATTTGAATTTGTATGCGCTATTTTGTACTATTAATATGCATACTATCTAGTATTCGGGAACTTAACTTATTTTCTTGGATTGGTTGTGTTTCTTTTTTGTGTTTTTTTTTTCATCTGCTATCAATATACACACTGTCAAGATTTACAGCATGTATATAATATTTATATTTCACAATAAAGGCTATGAAGCAATACTTGATCTGAATAATTAATGTTGAACCATACTTAAATGCTACATTTTAAAAATGTTATCGTAAAGTTTATTCAATGTATGTACATTTTATTGTATTTTAATGGCTGTCATGATTGTTCGGAGGTCACACAATTTATGACTAGTATTATGACTACGTATACAGTACTACGTATTGACTAGTATTATGACTACGTATACAGTACTACGTATTGAGGAAGGCTCGTAAAGGAAAATATAATTATACTGAGGTACATGTATCACAGATTTTTTTAATTACTCTTGTAATAATTAGATTAAAAATCTAATTATCGTGCTATATTTGTGAATGACATTTACCGGTATGTGTTGTCATTCATAATCAATGCTACATGTACATGAACAGCCGACAATATTCGAGTACAAACAGCATAAGTGGCATCATTAACTATAATTTAAACTTTGTTTTCAAAATATTTTATTTATATTGAGGGGTATATATAGTTAGCTTTGTCCAGTGATGCGACTTGAAATTAAAAAATCTCTTTTCTGTGTACATTAAGCGTCATTAACATCGATATCAGGAAAATTGTGTCGGTAAAATTTCTTTTTCCGTATGTTAACTTTTGTAAAATTTATATTGATCACAGGTGACAACCAACACTATTTTAATGGTGTGTCTGAGATATGTAATGATGAACTTATATGCGGAGTATAAAAGTGGTTGTTGCATGTGAAAGGGTCTAATTTCAGCAAAGATTACTCATTTTTCAGCATAATTTAACGATTTTGCACGACCATTCGATGTTTAGCGCGTATCAGTGACGTCATAGTTAAAAATTACGTCATTTTTGTACCTATAGAATTTACTTCGCATCTTCCTTACTTCAATGCATAACATCAAACAATGATACAAAGATGATTAAAATATCGTATTATTTGCGGCGAATTATTGCTTATACCGTATTTTGTTCTTTCAAAGAAACAACTCAATATATTTTATCAAGCTTCGTATATTCAATGAGCGAGATCTTACAATGTTGTCAACATAATGAAACATGATGCGTTTTTATGTCCAAACATTATTCCATACAATGTGTGGTTCATTGCAAACAATCTAGCTATTTATGTGAGGTGCCTGAAGGAAATCTTATAATTGCCTATTTTTTCTATCTAACTGCTAAACAAAATAGACACATGTACCAACTTTTCGAATGTAAGACATGTAATTACAATTTGTTTTTCATGCACTGCATATTGTTTAACATTTTCAAATTAAATGCTAAGCAACTTCCATGCAGTGCCCCATTTGAAAATAACTTCTATCGCCACAGAAAAAAGACCCGCCGTAATCATATATGTTTAGGACTTGTTTTATCTTTTTTCTTTAGTTTTAAAGAAACCAACAAATCATCAAGACTTGTTCCATGAAAAATTAAATATAATCATGGTAATAAACGCATCTATCCACAGCAGATATATGCATATGCCAACCACGTGCTCAGTGGAGTGATATTATCGAGGAAACTCGAGCTGTAAACAGAACAGTTTTTCCCGATTTGCTGGAGTGGGGTTAAAATCGCTTTTTTTCATTAATCAGACGATGCAATGCAACAAATAAAAGTATTAAGTAATATAACCTAATGATTATTACTTAGTAATTTCTTGTCTTGATGTTATTATGGTCGCATTTATTCTAAAACCAATGCTATGCGAACTCTGTGTGACCGAGGAATGGCGGACGAAATAAACACATGGCCTCAGGAAGACACCCATATGAAAAATCAAATTTTCAAGAATTATGGATAATGACAAGAAAAAAAGCGAAACAAATGGTTGTAGCCATATTATCAATGAATCAAACTAACACTATATATTCAATGCATTTTTCATCTCGTGAATGCTGTAGCTGCGCAGTTCTAACATGATTAATATCCTCCTAATTAAAACAAAATAAACTTAATTATTAACTGATTTTGGTCTCTAACAGTAGGTAATTAGTGCATTAGCACTTTGAGTAACTTTGGGCTAGTTTAGAAGAGTATTAAGCGCATTCTTGGTATTTCTTATTTTACACCAGACTAGATCCAATATGGCTTGTACATCCCCCTTAAGCATTGTAGTGAAACCTTGTCTACTCTGATGCTCTGGTTCCCAATTATAAATCGTTCAAACTTGGTTTTGCCCCAATGTCAGTGCTAAGTTGCTCATATTTGAAAAATACATTCTCACCGTTGAAATGTTTTTTTTCTTGGAATTGCTTGAAGCATTTAGCAATAATCACAAAATAATAAACAGCTAAACAACTAAACAGTTCTAAATTTGAGAACCCCAAAACAACCCAGGACAAGAGATTAAGTCCCATGGTAGGATTGTCACATATCAAAAATTACAATATTTTATTCTTATATTTTTGAACTCCTTATACAAACGATGCACTATACATAAATGATTACAGGTATAGCTGTATTTTTTTATATGTCAAGAAGACATTGTCTAATATTCATATGCATAAATGTTTGTATTTCTAGAGGGGGGCTCTCTGCTGTAGCAAATATTTATGGAGGAAATGAACAGATATGGCTGGACGGAATAAATTGTAATGGAAACGAGAACTCTTTGGTGGAGTGCTCCCAGTCAGTAATCACATTAAGGACCTGCAGCGTTAGAAGAAGAGCTGGAGTCATCTGTTACAACACCGTAAATGGTATATGTACATATTAAAAAGTATACTAAATGTCTATAGAATTTTAGCGTTCAGAATCTTGACGTTTTATTGAATGCTGGGTAACTGTATACTAGGTTAAGATATATGTGAGAGAGAGGGAGGCAATGTAGCCTTCATAATAATTTTTGTTTGTTTTCTTAAAAGAAATTATGAAACTTCAGAAGGATTCATCTATAGGCCACGACATCATAGTGACACCAACAATATATATAAATGGAGACTGGACTGAATTTTGTCGGGACGGATGGGATGATTCAGCGGCTAAGGTTGTGTGCAGAAGTCTTGGTTACTCTGGGTATGTTGACGCACACATTCCCCTCACACACACCTTTTCACACACGCGCTTATTTAAAGAAAATCTCTCTGTAGGACCTGTAAACAGAGTTAGACTAGAGACTGGATATCTTTAACGTTGTTGCCAGTTTCTTTTCTACAGTACATTTAATCCAATCTTAATATTTTCATTAATGAGAGTAAATGTCACACATAAAAAATTTTTTATTTCCGTATGTTTTAAAAATTATTATACCTTATAGAGAAAATCTAGAACCTGTTGTTAATAACTTAAACACCACATGAAAAATAATGAGTGTTGTCAAATATTGATATGATTTTTTCTAGTGTTGTGAGAAATGGTTAAAAGTAGGAGAAATCTACTTTAAATTTGTGCCAAAAATAATTTTTATTCTTCCAGAACTTATCCTTTTCTTAAATTTGTTTCTCTGTAAAGAAGGGATATATATTTTCATGTTTAGCAACAGTTACTTAAAATTTAGCCAATTCCTATAACTTTTAAAAAGTGGGAAAACGAACATTGCCATTCAAAATCAAAATTTAATAACGTTTTTTTAATCGCAATATTTCAGGAAATATATCGACGGAGTCTGTTTTTTTTTTTTTCATTTTACACGTATGAATTAGTTTCTGTTGAAAGAAATATCTTTTTAAAAAAAATAACAATGTTACTCTTCTTCGTTGGAAATTAAAAAAAGTGTTTGGAGTAAGTATTAAGAGTGCATTAACAAACATCTATTGTTTTTTCCTTAGTTATGCTGATTTAGTGGACAAAGGGCAAGCAGGAATAAATCAAAGAGAGGTTTTTATGAACGTTGATTGTACTGCAAATGAGGAAACTTTGACCCAATGCAACATTGGCACAATTGGCTTTGAACAATGCAATAATACTAGCCCTGTAGGGATAAAATGTTATGCTAATGTTGAAAGTATGTTTATATATATATTTATATACATCGTACATGTATTTATTAATTTCTATACACAAATTTCGGCAAATATTTATATGCAAATGTTAACAGTAATTTTAAACCTTTGCATAAAAATTGGGTTTGCTTGAAATAACGAAATATATATATTTCTTTCTTTCTTTTTAATAACGTAACATGGTTAGAATCAAACTTGTAATGCATTCACTTTCAAGTGTAGATTGTATAAACTGTTGTTAAACTTGATGCAAGATTAACAACAGAATTTTAATTACGAAGAAATCGACAGTATCCTTCACGAAAGTCTAATTCAGGTTTAACAACAAGAAGGTAAACATAGATGATGTTTATTTCAGTATGCATGTAAACAACATTGCTGAAATGTTTCACTTCATGTTACATGTATCATTTTTACAGAGTTTATTAGGCTAGTCAATGGAACTACAAGAAGCGAAGGGCGTGTAGAAATATTTATTAATGGGGAATGGGGAACTATTTGCGAAAATTATTGGAGCGATGCAAATGCAGAAGTGGTGTGCAAAAGTCTTGGATACTCAAGGTAATTATATATGCGTTTTCTTTCCATTGAATCTCTTCCTTAAAATAGAAGTATCATTGCAATTTTTTTTATTTCCTTAATAGAACCTCGACTGCTCACCGTCATGCCTATTTCGGACCTGGGACCGGGCGTGTTTGGTTAGACAGAGTTCAATGCCAGGGCACAGAGCCCTCAATCTTTGACTGTAGACACACAGGCTACGGAAAAGGATATTGTGCACATATCAGTGATGCTGGTGTAACATGCTCATAATTCTTTCATAACCACAAGTTACTGCTACCGTTTTGACCTTCTGCAATTTAATTATGTGATATTGAGGATGTCTGTATTTGTATTTTGTATTGTAATACATTTTTACGGCGTCGAGCTTTAGCTCGGCGCTCATCTAGCTATGAGGAAATCTCTGACTGCTCACCGCTTTCTTCATGCGCTAAATCATGTATCTGGCGTAGGAATATACATGCCAATTTTTGCGTTTATTCCATAAATTAATTGCTTGAAAATCATACAATTTCAACAGTCCTATACATGATTGCCTTCTCACCCACTTTCGTCGGGATTTCCGGATTCGGTTCGTAAATTAGGTTGTACTTTTAAATTCCAGTTACAACTTTATAAAGAATGCAGACGGCTATGTGCAGTAGGCCAGTAAATTATCAGTGCAGATGTAAACAATAAACTGGAATTGTTTTGACAAATCAAAATTTAAAATGGCCTCCAATAGAACAAGATTAATTGTTATCAGGACCAGCAGGAACAAATTGAAGTAAGAGAAAGAGAAACAATATCTATGTACATGTCAAGGAATCTTGGAAAACAACTTTCATTACATAAAATAAAGTGATCGAAGACAGTGTAGGTCTTACTGTACATTTAGTACACGCTGCACTAGTTAATTAAATTAATTAGGCCTAAGAGAGAGGAAAAGTAATTTCAAATCCCCTAAAATTGAAATTACTTTCAAATTTAGCACCAGGGACCTATATACTAACAGTATATTAGTATATACATGATATAAGTCCCTGTTAGCACAAATTGAAAAGGCTTTTCTTTAAATGCACACTTACCGTAATTCAGGTCAATCCTGGACAATGAAACCTTCAATATTCTTTTTTAACATGTCAATTTAATCAAAAATATTTTGTCATTGTAAGTTAATTCAGTAAAGCCTTTTTTAATATAAGAATTATCAACACACAAATGACAAGATTTTTACATCTTGGCATGGGTGTTGGCAAGTATTCTCTTTTACCGGGGTACTCTACACATAAAAACCTGTTCTCAAGCCGTTCAGCTGAATCATATGAGTTGAATGCTTTTATTTCATAAATGTTTAAATCGGGGTATTTTATCTAGATATACAACTAAGCTATATAATTCTGCAGACATATGCATACTTTTAAGCATGCTTGGAAATCCAATAATTTCACGGTATCACTGCCCTATCTAAAGCGCGGCGCCATTGTGGCCCTTCAGGCCTTTCATTTTAATATATAAGGGGGTATTGGACTACATGATAACTGCAATGTTTCATATTTTTCTTAATTAAAGTACCAATAAACATAGAGTTTTTAAGCATCGAAGGAGAATTTTTTATATTTCTTGTACAGTGTTATCGCAAAATCATTAAATATTCAATGGATGCTTGTATAAAATAAAAGCGGTATTCCATGCATGGATTCAAAATATAGGTGGGGATTGACGTATAGGTGGAATTGACGGTTAGAATTAACGTATAGGTAAGAGTTGACGGTTAGAATTGATGAATATGTAAGAATTGAGTGTTAGAATTGACGTATATGTGAGAATTGACGGTTACAATTGACGTATAGGTGAGAATTGACGGTAAGAATTGGCGTATAGGTAAGAATTGACGGTTTGAATGATGTGTATGTGAGAATTGACGTATAGGTAGAAATTGTCGGTGATAATTGACGTATAGGTGAGAATTGACCTAGGGGTGGAATTGACAGTTAGAATTGACGTATAAGTAAGAATTGACGATGAGATTTGACGTATAGGTGGGAATTAACGTTGGGGTGGATTTGACAGTTAGAATTGACGTATAATTAAAAATTGACGGTTAGAATTGATGTGTATATGAGAATTAACGGTCAGGATTGACGTATAGGTGAGAATTGACGTAAAGGTAAGAATTGACGGTTAGAATTAATGTGTACATGAGAATTAACGGTTAGGATAAACGTATAGATGGGAAGTGACGTATAGGTGAGAATTGACGTTTAGTTGGAAATTGACAATGAGAATTGACTCGTAGGTTGGAATTGACGGTTAGAATTGACGTATATATGGGAATTGACGGTGAGAATTGACGTATTGGTGGGAATTGACGGTTAAAATTGAGGGATAAAATTGTATAGGTAAGAATTGACGGTTAGAATTGACGCATAGGTAAGAATTGAGGGTTAGAATTGCCGAATAGGTAAGAATTGACGGTTATAATTAACGTTTAGGTGGGAATTGACGGTTTGAATTGATGTATAGGTAAGAATTGACGGTTAAAATTAACGTTTAGTTGGGAATTGACGGTTTGAATTAACGTATAGGTAAGAATTGACGGTTGGAATTGACGTACATGTATACATGGGAATGGACAATGATAATTGATGCATAGGTGGGAATAGACGGTTAGAATTGACGTTTATATGAAAATTGACGTATACGTAAGAAATGACGTATAGTTGAGAATTGACGGTGAGAATTGACGTATAGGTATTAATAAACGGTTAGAATTGAAGTATAGTTGAAAAGTGACACATAGGCGGGAATTGACTGTTACAATTGACGTATAGGTGAGAACTCACAATGAGAACTGACGTTTAGGTTAAAATTGAAAGTGAGAATTGAAATATTAGTTGGAATTAACGTAAAGGTGGGAATTAAAGGTGAGAATTGACAGTTAGAATTGACGTGTAGGTGGGAATTGACGGTTAGAATTGAAGTGTAGGTGATAATTAACGGTTAAAATTGAGGTATAATTGTGAATTGACTGTAACAATTGACGTATAGGTGAAAATTGACGGTGTGAATTTAGGTATAGGTGGGTATTGACGGTTAAAACGAACGTATAGGTGGGAATTGAAGTATAGATGGGAATTGATTGTGAGGATTGACGGTTAGAATTGACATATACGTGGGAATTAACGGTTAGAATTTATGTATAGGTGAGAATTGACGGTAAGAATGGACGTTTACGTAAAAATTGACGGTTAGAATCGACGTGTAGTTGAGAATTGACTGTTACAATTAACGTGTAGATGGGAATTAACGTATAGGTGGGAATAGACGGTTAGAATTGACGTATAGGTGAGAATATTGACGGTTAGAATTGATTTATATATGAGAATTGACGATGAAAATTGACGGTGAAAATTGACGTATAGGTTCAGAGTGGCACAGTGGTTACAGCGTCTGCTCTGTAAAGTCGCGAAGTATGGAGTTAATCCTTACGTCGACGGTTCTAATTCCACTGTAGGACCTGGAGAGTGCTTCGTTAAATGTTCAGCATCAAGTACCAGGTATTATTTTTAGATATTTGACTTTGTGAAAGATACTGACAACTTTTTACCTCAAATTAAGTTTTCTTCATTTCTGTAGAAATGGCTTTACAATATTGAGACATTTACCGGTCCTTTTCTAAAGATGTGTTTGTCCTGGGTTACTTTTACCAAATATAATCAATAGTTTGATTTAGTGTTTAAATTACTTCTGTAATTGCGAACAACTCCCAGAAAGGCGGTTAAACCTTTGACATATCTTTCATCATGAAGAAAAGAAATTCCTTTCTAGTGGTGTTGATTGATGGATGTTTCTGCACTTTGGTTAGTACTATCCTGATTTCTTGCAAAAAATAAACAAACAAACAAACAAACAAACAAACAAACATTTTTGCAAGAAATATTTTATTTCGACCCTCATTGTTTATATGTTAAGATATACTTATTATTTTTTATAAACATATTTGTGTGAAGTATAATTATCTTTACTCTTAAAAAATAATAAATTATCATCTAAAATGAAAACATCTCGATATAAATAGAAAATAAAATGTTTCCTTATTAGGATTTAAGACACAGTGTCTATCGAGTGTTTGAGAGTCGGTTGGTTATTGAAGAAATCGTATAATAAATCAATCAGTTACAAACTGATTTTTTTTTAATTTGGCTTGTGATCTCTTTACTTATAGTGTATATACTCATTATACTGTGTTTACAAGTCTTTAACAGTATACGTACGTCAACAGTTTTATCGCTTCTCAGCAATCAGACACCCAAAAAGTACTCTCCCCTCGCTTTAATCATTATGCGTAAAATAAAAGCCAAAAAAGATAATAATAAACTAGTAAAATGATCAAATTTAATAAAACCCGGGCCAATCATAAATGATCTATAAAAATATTCTAGACTTACATGTAGTATGTATCGTAAATTGGTATTTGATAATTGTTACAAAATTTAAACAAAATAATTTGGAAACAGTTTTACTTGTAGTTTATAGTAAAGCTTTTTCGAGGGTCTGATCAGAAAGACCAATGATGTAGATCTTTTGGAGGGACAGTACAGTGTGTTACAGTGTGGTAAATTGTGTACAGACGAGAAGAGTTGTCAAACGTTCTTATACAAACCCAAAGACGAAAAATGTTATCTCTAATCTCTACACATATTATACACCTGTATTGTCTGAAGCGGGAGTAGAGGCCTACGAGATGACAGCTATAAGTCTAACAATTAAAAAACATTGCAATATTGAAATTTGAAATTCGCATTTCCTGTCATATTTTGTTTTTAAAATAAGTCGATGTATGAACCATTAAAGGACATACTTAATTTTATCATATTTTGTTGTTGTTGTTTTTTTTTTTTGTTTTTGTTTTTTTTGAAAATATTTAACCAATGATATTGTAATCTTAGTTTGTTATTTATTGCAACAAAACTCAAAAGTTTCGACAAATAGTTTTGATGATTGATAAATGTTCTTTTCAGGATGTCCTCCGTCTAGTTTTACTTTAAATAGAGAATCTGGCTCATTTTTTAAAATTTTATTCACAACAAACAGAACGTCATCCTACTCCAGCTCAGTGTGTGCTCAGCTTGGCGGAGAACTTATTTCTCTAGAGACAGACCAAAAGATGACGTTCCTAAAAACCTATATTCTCCAATATTGTAAGTATTGTAAGTAAAAATACAGAAGAATAGTAAAAGAAAAAAAGAAACCGATGTAAAAGAAGAATGTGAGGTAGTTCGCTATAAGCCATTAAGCTTTTCTTTTACTTTTTTGGCTACTATTTCTGATTACATAATAGTACTAAGCAATTTTTTTGACACTCTTGGAAATCCAACTCTTGTACAACGCGTTTAGCACTTCTCAAATCTGAATGCAAGCAATTTCTTCGATCTAAAACCAGTTTTCTTTTTCCAATTTTCTTTTTTTAGTTTATATCTTCAATGCAAAATAAAATGAATAAAAGAAGAGGAATATTTTTGTAATTGCATGAGATCTATTGCAGGATTAAGCGATGTTACACAAAATTAATACACTTGATATGTTGATTTTACAATATTTTGGAGAAATCATTTTCATACTTTAGAGACATACATTGTAACACCAAATTATTATAAAGACAATCAAATACATGTTCATAGAAAATAAATACTTCTTTTATTTTTTCTTACAGATAAGGAGGAAATGGGCGTACTTGTGGGCCTCAATAGTTCTGGTGTTTGGGGTTGGACCAATGGTGCACCAGTCCTTTAATCACAAATAAAATTAACAATTTTGACTCTGGAATGAATCCCTGTAGTAGCGATTTCTGTGGGGTGTTTAGTTTGTCCTCTGCCTCAGCTATTGAGATTTTTGACAGTTGATGTCTCAATAGGCCACTACTGTTTGCCTGTTCCACATCGGATATGATATGGTGAGAACCAGACAATATTGGCAGCAGAAGTTTCTTCTTTAAAATTCCGGAATATGACAAAGTGACCCCTTTTATTACATAACTTTATAAAACCATCCAAAAATAATAATTTGATATATACAAAAAAATAATAATAATAAAGTAGCAATCAAATGTAAACAACAGGTTTTTTTAATTTGCTAAATAAGAAATAATGATTTTTTCTCTCAAGAATTTTAAAGGATACTATACAGTGGTAACTTCTTAAGTAAGGACACTAAAGTTTACGGCAGTTTTTTTATTCTATGATCATTAATATTTAATATTCATATTTGCAGCATTGTAGATTGGAAAAATATACAAAAAAAAAGATTAAAAAGTGTTTTTTCCATTAAAGAGCAAGGTTCTATCGAAGACTTTAGAGTGTTTCGTTTTGTAGTTGATCTTGATTACGAGTTTTAATCCCTTAGTTCCACATGAAAATATACCATTTAAATCTGACAGTAAAAAAATCTTTTTGCGATTTTTTTTCCAGGAACAGGTATATAAATGTGCAGTAACTGTTGGCCTTCAAAGATGAGTAAAAACAGTATCTAAGTGATTTAAAGCAAACAAATTTGCACTGAAAGAAAAACCTAGTGAATTTAACTAGTGTGTTTCGTAAAGCGTTGGTCGTGATTAGTAAACTTTCAGTTTACTGGTTAAAAAGTTGTGGAGCGGGGGTGATAAGTTACTTAGATATAGTGAAAGTTACTCATCAATTCTAAATTTACCAAACTTATCTAGTAAATATACCAATATCTGGTAAAACTACTATTAAGGTAGTGATTGTATGGACAGTGAATCTACTAGTTTGTTTTCTTCATGACATTAACTAGTTATTTTTTTACAGTGTGCCAACCATTGAACAAATACATTTTTGAAGACGAAATATGTTATCAATTTTTTATTACAATAACCAAAAAAAGAAGAATACGAAGTAACTTAAATTGTTTGTTTTATTTTAACAGATTTTTTAAAATAAAAATCAGTACAGTAGTACTCCTGTAAATCCAGAGTATCCACCCTCGTGAATATTTTCTTTTCGACTTTGATTTCCACCATATTCTACCTTCACATGGTCACCTCGCCTCAATTTTACTACAACTGTTCTGCTTATTTGGTCCCAACTGTTGTCGCGAACTCTGTACGCTGATGCTACTGTTTTTTTATTTACTTTTATGTGAAGCCATGTTTCCAAATGGCACAGACAGTCAACGACAAACATGTAAGTTCCCGCCACTGGACACACGAACACCCCTGTTCTATCGTCATATCCGTTTCCATCATTTTTAATAATTCCATCATATTTAATGATCTGACCTGCTCCAACACTTAGTCTTCTTGTATTGTTGACACAGAAACTGACTCCCCTATACAGTATTGAAGATTCTGAAACACATACAATTATACATAATGTGAATTTTAAAAACTTGAATATCAAATGAATAAAATGTAAAAAATATTTCCTGGTTGATTACTGTGTAAGGTAGAGAGAGTAAATAAACCATCCTGACAAAGAAAACATGTACAACCGAAAAAATTATCTAAATATGCTGTTGAAATCAATGTAAAACTATAAGTCTCAAATAACTATAAGCTTAGACGTCTCAAATTCTGACCTCACCGCCTCTGAGACTGTGTTACGAAGAGACAGTGGTCTTGGGAAAATGACAGACAGTGGTCTTGGGAAAATGACAGTTACGTAATAAAAAGAAAATTCAATATTTTTTTTATATATGGACATAATTTCACTCGTGAGAGAAGATTTTTTTTTATAATTCCATTCGTGCCTCGCACTTATACAAACATTTTTTAAAAATTCTGTCCTACTGGAAAAATTTATTTCCTATTCAACTACAAAATACATAGCTGTCCTCTAATTACATCCAATAAAATCCTGTCTAAATCCATGTTGATCAAAGTTATCCAAATAAACAAAAATCAAATTTTACAAAATGTACGTTCAATACATTTTTAACTCTTTTTTTTTCATATCATTTTGAAAAGAGTAAATCAAAGAACGGCTAAAAGATATAAAAATAATACTTTGTGTATTAGATATCAGAATGTTTTCTGTGGATTGAATAATGTTTAAATAGTTAAAGATAAATTGAGGTAGGCTTTCTCTTCGTTTGAATTTTGCAATTGCTTATGTAAATACCAAATATACTTATTTTAGCAATGTAATGGTCCAATAAAGTTGGAAAATCATGACTGAGTCTCAATAACGTTTCGAATCTTATGGTGATGTATTGCTCCTTTAAAACATCTTATTGGAAAATTTAAGCTTAAATGATATATTAAGTAATTTGTAAGGCATAACATCTATTCTATTGATACCTTTTCCCAAACTGCCAAAAAGTTATCCGATTTTGTCTATGAAAATCTGATGGCACTAATAACGGGAACCCCCGTTACTTCTGCATTAAAAGGATGAAGTGCCTTCAACTTCCATAATATATATGAGGTATCACTGTCTAAATTGTTGAGTATGCCAGAGCATCAATGATAGTTTGAAACGCGGGATAAATTGTATAACGGCGAAGCCCGTTATGCATAAACTACATAAAAAGGATGAAATGTCATACGACCCGAAGTAGATTGAAAAGTTAAAAATGTTTAGTCGTTCTAATTCAGTATTCTTCAACATTATAAAAATACGAACTGTCGACACTTTTCAGAAGGTGTCATTTTCCTTTTACTTTGGTTTAAAAATAACCAGAATGATATATATTTTTTTTTTAAATTTAACGCGGTAAAAGGGACAATATACCATAGTTTTGGCAACTTATCCTAAGCAATTATACCTGATGTTGAGAGTTGGACGAGTTCCTTTAGAGCTACAGAGTCCAATGTAACTGTAGCCTTAGCATTACTGTAGATCAAGGACTTGATGGAGTCAAGCTTTACCCGTGTGTCTGACTGTGTCCCTCCTAACACCGGGTAAAAAATATTACAGATCACAAGAAATACTGTCAGAGTACCTCCAAGATTTGTAAGTGTAAGCATTTTCTTATTTTGATAATGACACAAAAACAAACATTAACCCTTTATCAGGTTTTGACAAGCACGTACATTTTTACAAATTTCATATTTATATCATTTTTTAGAAAAAAAAATATTGTTGAATATTGATTTCTTTTCACGCAACATTATCGTTATAATATCGAATTACATATAAATGGAAAAAGATAACGACATTGTGCATTGAGACACCATACAGTATATCAATGAAAATGATTCAATACACTTTTTTTGTAACGAGCCTTTTGAGTTTACTGAAAGCAAAACATTTTGACAGCGGGTTCTACCAGCCAGGGAATTATAAAGTTTAAAATTCTTTGGCAAAATATTTCTATATATTTGGTAAATCGAGTCGACATTAAATGAAAATGATCTTTAAGACATTAAGATTCTGGCTTAGGAAGTCCTTAATTTGGCGGTGTAAAATTTTTTGCTGTTTGAGCAAAAATATACAAGAATTTGTCTATATATGTGTGGAAATCCTAGAATGGAAAAACTTGTCCTTTTGTTTGTAACACGGTTTATATATCTATAAACGGGTTTTAATTGTTTAAATTAGTTTAATGCTAATTAAAACTTTTAAAGACTTCTGAACAAAAATGTTAACAATAAAAAAATAAGTGGATTTGAATAAATATTATAGTTATTCGGATCAAACTCTCTGATAACTGCTTATTTGTTCCTTGTCGCATAAATGCAAGCTTAAGACAATTGTAATATTTTTGTAGCTCATATTTATGAAATACCATACTGTTTACATTGTTCTCTCCTCATATATGCATACGATATAATTTTCACAATTTAAAATTCAAAATGGAAGTTAAGAAAATATAAGGATGTTCGTAAACCGAGAAAGATTTAGGAAAGACATGTAAAATAAATTAAATACTGGTTTTACAAGCATTTTTTGGCACAATTGATATATATTCTCACGCGATCAAGGTCATGGCTCTTTTATTATTCTTTATTTATTTCAAGAACGATTGAATTTTCTTCGCTTCAGTTACAATTATGTTAGCGATATTTTTCACAAAATGTTGTTCTTCTGTATTCCATTTGAAGGCTAATGACTACAAAATAGCAATGGATGGAATAAAAAAAAAACCAAATACCATATCCTGCGTCTTTTTTTCTTGCATGAGATGTTGATCCCCCAAGTACTTAAGCTTCAACGCCATTAAGCATAACAAATCAAAATAATTCAGAAAACAGTCAAAATAATTTTTTAAGATTTCAAAATTAAGGACCAAAAATGTGTCGAATATGCCAAGCAATGTGACTCTTGAATGATCTGTATATCAATTTAGTTAGTAGAAATGGTATCCAAATTCGATCAGATTGTTGGAAGACCTGATCATTCTTTTTGCTGATCAAAAACTCAAAAATCTTTTCAATAGTAATTTCAGAGTACATGTGTGTACGATTAGAATGTTTTAAGGGGGGACCTATGTCGTTCTACGTCAAAGCAGTGTTATGTGACGTCACAGTAGCGACGTTCGTTTTTTCCCGCTGACTTTTGCAACTGTGATTATAGGCATAACATTGTTGTTAATCAATAACGTACACAGTTTACAAAAAAAATTTTTTTTAATCATTTATAACAGTTTTATTTGATTTATGGAGTTTGTTAATATTAGAATTCTCTTCCTTTGGTTGATAATTCATAGCAGTTTAAAGTGTGAAGAAATACCTCCATGATATGCTGATATAAAAATGCAAAAATTATAAGATAAAATTTAGCAAAGACAGCGGCTTTAATCAGGGAAATATGTTTAATTTTATGATTACCATTTGTATTTTCTGGATAAAACTAAAAAAATTAAGAAATGTACCTGTACCTTAATTTTATTGATTTATAGTGTATGTAGATTTTATTGTATAAAGTTATTCCTAGGTTCTATTAGGTGTTGGTTGTTGACGGGGAAAGGGGGGAGGGGGAGGCAGAATGATTAGAATGAAGAAGAAAAGAGTTTATCTGTTTAAATTATTTGTTATCAAAACAAAATACTCGTTTTTTGCAAAATAGATTTATATTCAGATGTTTGTCAGTGCTAACTTACCTTTTTTTAGTGCAGAAAGGTCAATATTTATGACAGAAGAGAACGAAAATAAAAGAAAACGGCATATTTCTCGTTTATTATATCATAAAGGTATACTTTTTTCTTTGTTAAAATAAAGAGAGGGGTGACTTCTTTCAAAAAATATTAATTACAATATTTTCACACAAAGACTTTTTAAGATATTACATGTTATGCATGTCGGAATTGTAAAAAATACGACGAGAAAAACGGGGTAATACTTATATTGTACGCCTTTATAAGTTTTCATGCAAGATGAATTACAATGAATTTGCCTTCATTTTAAAGATACAAATCATATAAATTAAATACATGTTGATTTCGATTGTGATTTGACATTTTTGGTTCTTTTTAGCGCATATATGGAGTAAAACAATAATGTCTGAAGATAATCTATTTTTAGTATTTCACACTGTTTTTGCACGTGCTCCTGTGTAAAAATAAGCACATACAGGTATTGTTTTTAATACCTAAAAATTAAAAGCAAGTGGTCAGGAAGGAAATGTCAAAGTTTTGAAAATTTCACACAAAGACTTTTCGGACATAGGTCTCCCCTTAACAAAATAATTTTCCAATTGACAATGATAAGGTAGGTATATTTACGTTCTTTTAATTGAAAATACAATTATTTTTGTTGTCAAGAATCCAGGATTTGAATTCATATTAGGAAATGGTTGAATAATATGTTAAAAGTTGTACATTTCATAATGACTGAATTTGGTAAAGTTTCTTGGAGCTTTAAGGTATCCACATTTGATTTGCACCACTTCTGAAATATATTGCTGGACAGTACCAGTACTCCTTAAGTTTATCTTTCATTGTTGTCAGTATTATGATAGAATTGTAAAAGAAAGAGACTCGGTAGTACATTAAATGGAACATGCTATATATCTTTGTAAGAATTTTTTATGAAACTCGGAAATCTAGAATAGCTGGATGTGGTATTCAGATTCATTTTATTTGCTGGGAATATTTAGACTGACATATGATTTTGAATAATTTCTCCTAAGAAAGGGTTTGGGGTAAAAGATGGATTACCACTAGCAAAATTAAGAACAATTTCATTCAAAATATGATTTAAATAATGAGCCTTACAAACAAAGATACAGTTGCAACCTGCTTTGTCAACTGGGACCAGTACTGATCATGTAAGCTATCTAATTCTTTTTTCACATCTGAATTATGAAACATAAGGACAGGTGTTTTCCTATTTTCCCTTAATCGCTCAATAAGAGACTTTAACACACATCTGATACTTTTAATACATTTTGACGAAGTGTCAAGGTCTTTTATAAATGTTTAACCTATTGTTGGAGTAAACTTTTACAGAATTCACAATATTTGTGAAAATATTAAAGATCAGGGTTTCGTAAGTTTTGGACCTTTTAAAATACTTTATTGATAACTATATTTACTTTATCCTTTATGATGAGCTTTAAAAAACTTTAGTTTAGAGTTTTGAAAAGCATGAACGCATTTGAGGATTATTTTTCAGATGTTATAAATAGTTGATATATAAGCTCTGAAGAGTAGATTTTAGTCTATGTATATTTGCAAGATATTTTAAACAAAGTCTTTTTGGAACACAACCTAACTTTTAAAGGAAATTATATATTTCATTTGTTGTACCAATCCAATCTATTTTCATAATATATGTCGCTTGGATAGCTGGCGACATTTGCCAAGGTGTAGATCACTTAACCTGGAGTATCTTGAAAACTTTGCACATTAATTGGTTGACATTACAGCGCTTTAGATAACCAATTTCGTGACCTTTTGGATTCCACTTTGACGTACTTTTCAAGATAGTCCATATTGTCAATAATAATAAACAGCATACTTTTGACATTTAAAAATAAACTTTTGTTCTTAAGCATGTGCTCTGTTTTTCATAAGTGTTTTAGCTTGACCTCACTAATGACATACTCTGAATATTTAAGTCTTTGAATTTGGAGAGGGTTTATTTTAATCATTGGTATTTCTACCACAAGTTTTCGAGCTTGCGTCTCTGAATAATGAATCTGTACATATGCAATTATACCTAATGGACTTCTATTTCATTTATCATTTTTAAGCTTTCAGATTTGAGGATCATATTAGCACTATTGTTGTTTTTCTACCGTAAATATTTTTTTCTCAGCAAATACATGATCAATCGTGTCATTTCATTAATCATTTCAGCGCTGAAGGTTGCGAAATCTGATTTTCAGAGTGTAAACCAGTCCCAATGTTCGCGGATTCTTTTTTTCTTTGCAAGCTAATGTATTTGTTATAATGCAATTAGTAAATAAATAGCTTTTTTATATCTTAGATTTATTTACAATTCAAATGGCGTTATAAAGACACTTGCGTTCCTTGAGATACTCTAGTTTTAAATTCTAGTTTTAACTGTTTTAACGAACATTGCTTTTTGAAAAGGGACCAGAGGTCACATGTCATGTGCCTAAGACATTAGAATTAATGTTAATATTTTGTGGTAGTATACATGTTAATTAGCTTAACTTTACCCTTTAAACGTCTAGGATGCTGACATTGATAAAGTAAGCAATTTTGAAAAGAAGGTCAAGGTTGAAATTCATTGGATGTCGATCGCGCCTGACCTTAGTCAAATAGGCAGTGTTCCTTCGCAATGCGCTGGAAGCTTTGAAGTAAAAGTTGTGGCTCTGCAAGTATGTATATCTATATTATTCCAGTAATAAAACTCGAAGCAACCTAAAATTAACCAAGAACTGTTTTTTTTAAAAAAGGTTATTTTGCACAGACCTAGGAATTTTTTTTAAAAATGAAAACTAATAAATCAATCTGTACGTGTACAATGCAAGACAGTAAAAATGGGGAATAGCTTTGAATGAATTGGAACATTGAGTGCTATATGAGTAGTATATTGTTGACGTCGATGGTTTTTCTCAATTACTTCTGTACACAAGAGCATGCTATACGTATGAAAAATGTACGATGTAAATTATTGACAAACAATTTGATGAAACAAATATCATCAGTCTCGTTTAAAGTCACCATCTGAATTTGAATCGGCAAATACAGTCTATCATTAAGTCAAATGTTGACTGAAGTTTTTCATACTAATTGTTAGTCCATTATTCATACATTGAATTGACGACGGATTTTCCGTTATTTCCCGATCAAAACAAGAGCACACGGCGGGTTTGACCGGTCGGCAGGGCATGTTCACTCTTCCATGATACCTGATCCCACCTCTGATGTTTTGGAGGTCTGTGTTTATAAGACAAATAATAAGTCACTTCTTATGCGCAAAACTTTATTAACCTTAGACTAACCTTCTTTAACAGATACTTCTTGGTACCAGTTAAATTATTCATACTCATTTTTTTATGCAGGACTTTTTTTCTGTTACAGTTTTTTAAAATTTTATTAAAACAGTTTTGGCGTTAAGAAAAGTCCTTCCAAAGATTATTTACGGTTCCTTTGAAACTTAAACTACATTTGGATTCAAAAGGCCTTTGCAAGATTAAATATATTTCAAATATATTTTTCTTTCAAAATAAATGTAACATTATCAAATCTATTAAGTCTTTATTATCTAAAGGAGTTCAAGAAGAAATCGGGAACTTCCAGATAAATAACTGTTTACCGACTTACTTTCGATCAATGATCTAGATTTGAAGGAGGGACAGTACAGTGTATTACAGTGTGGGAAATGTGTACTGATGAGAAGAGTTGTCTAACTTTCAGATATCCATTGTTGAAATATACACATGTTAACAAATCTTTATTAAAATAGAAAATTTGGTGCTCTAAAATATCTATTGTAATAAAAGAAATTGTAGGAAAACAGTATGATTATAAAAATTGAAAAGGCATTACAATTCTAAATTTTGAACTCGTATTTTTGCAGTTTGATCGATTTAAAACACATTGAAATATACAAGCCGTATAATTTCTGGCAAAGATAGAGAAAAGTATGAAACAGGTTTGCTTAATTCATAAAACAAAAAGAATAATTTATTTTCGCAGTACAGTTAAGGCAACATTTTCTATAAATGTTTAACTGTTTTATTTTTTGGCAAGACACTCTAGTTAAAATAACTTTATGTTATCTTGAAGAGTATGTTCATCGCTATTCACATCGGTATTTTTTGTCATCATGTGACCCTCTAAAGTCACGTGGGCTGGGATTTTAGGTCAACAAATGAAATATCAAATTTAACCAAAAAGTTCAAGGGCAAGGCAAACAAAAAAATAACTGTACAATGTTTTAGATTGCCCCAATGTATCTATACTTTCGCAAAAGTGATGCTCATTCAGTTAGTTTTCCGATATATTTAAGTTATTCAGCTAACACAGACAGTATTATATGAAAAATAGGGTATTTTCCTAATTTCATTGGAAATTATAAATTACCTAAAGGATTACAAGGACATGAGCATCACTTTTTGAAAACTATACAGTGAGTAACATGAATAATTTAAAATATAAACCTATTTTTTTAGATTGTCGCCTTGCCCTTGAACTTTTTGATTAAAAATTGACATCTTGGTACAGTCAATCTAAATATAGTTTTCAAACGCATCGTTGACCCAGCATGGGAGATAACTCTTTAGTTCTTGATACAGTTTGTTTACCTTGTAGATTTTAAATTAATATACTTGCGGACTGCGCTGGGATCTTTTTACTAAATCAAATGGTATGCATATAACATCCTGGACATTACTTTCTATTGTGTGACTTACTTCTCTATACAATGTATGAATTATGTGTACTAAAAGACGTCTTTCAGACCTTCCGCATTTCCTCAAATTATGTGGAAACACAGATGCAGCTAGATGTACCCTTTGCCGCAGCATTGTAATCTAAAACGCCGATTGTTAATAAAAATGGAAATATTTGATTATAATTAATAGTCAATTGATAGCCTTCATCAATGCAATAATTAATTCGATATTAAACTATACCCCTCTGTCACTACTGTACATTCACTTGTGTACAAGTAAGAAAACGTTTTCATTTGATTTTTTTTTTTTTGCATACAAGATTCTATCATGGCTTTCATTCAAACCTTCAACTCCTAAGATATTTAAGTTGTACGTTTTAAGAACTAAGTGGAAAGCATAAATATTCCTGTATTTGTTAAGGGGACGACCATTTTATTCCGAAAGAAGTGGGGGGGGGCAGATCTCGAAAATGTTGAAAATAAATATGTCCCAGACTGGGTAAGAAATAAATAATCTGCCCCAGACCAGAGCCTCCTTCCTATAAATTAGAGGGGTTTTTTTCTTTTGCTTGTCAGACATTTTTCAGAAGAGGAAAATAAATAATCTGTCCTTCATCTTATTGGAAATAGATATTAGTCTTTTCTTCATTGACATGAAAATAAATTTAAAGGCAGAGATTTTAAGCACCGCCTTCAAAAATACCTGGCCTGGGTAGCCCTGTCAATCAAGTGCATGAAGGTCCATCATTGGATGCTGGAACTTGATTGACAGTTACTGACTGGTACTTGTGTATACCCTGTACACATTGATTGGGACTCATGGTGACCTTCTAATTAACTTTTGATCCTTTGACCTTTACTAAACATGATATACAGAATTACTGTATTACTATGAAATTTTATAGATTGATAATATATGAATTAAATATACCTTTAGTATTTGAAAATAATATAATAATTATGCATTTTTAAAGCCAAAACATTAAACTTTAGTACAAAAACTTTTTTCAAATGAAATTTCGATATTATTTTTAATATGTTAAAGTGGAAATGTTATTGATAAAGTTCAGAGCAGCACTGTGTAAAGTAATTAAATTTAAAAAATAATGTTTCTAATCATGGGTCATTTACATTTTCCTTTTTTATTCAAATGAAAATTTACAAGCATGTTTAATGGTGACAAAGCCTTATTAAGGTTAGGATAGACCTATACAGTGCAGATATTTTTTTGTGAAATGTAGTTCACACAGCTCTCTTTTCATTTAATTAATAGATGGGATCCTGGGGATGAATGAATCAACTCTAATTTGGTTGTTGCAAGAGATGTTTTCTTTAAATTAACATAAACAATAACATCTAAAACAATCTTTGTTTTAATATTTGAATTCATATTATATCATAATATTAATTTCTAAAATAAGTAAGGTTGTTTTCAAACAGTCAAAAATAAATCAATAAAAAATTGAAGAAAATTTTTTTTTACCGCTAATTTTAAAATTGTCTCAAAATCCCCAACACAGGTAAAGTTTGACACCTGGGGTATTTCACTGTGTATTAAATCTCTTCCTGTGTATAGGGATTAGGAGACAGATGACCACAGGTAGACTGCTAGCCCCCAAGGCATTCACACCTGTACAAAATAAGCCCCTCCCTCACCTGGAATTTACCACCCGATAAAAAATCTCTGCCTTTAAAAAATTGACTTGGGAAAACTTGCTAACCCCCCCCCCCCCACCCCCTTCCATTCAGAATAAAATGGTGGTCCCCTATTCCCCTTTCCTGTTTTGAATCAATTTGGGGAGTCTTTAATCTCCTTTTAGTTACTATTTTTGGAAAAAACAAATTAACACAATGTATATGCTGAAAATAAGATCTTGATGGACATTGACACCCATCACACAAAATATATGCAAATTAAGATTTTCAAATACTAATAGCCTTTTCAACACCTGTACAGTAAATACATGTATATGAAAAAGTCAAAGCATTAATTATCAAGAAAATTTATTTCATAAACAGCTTTTCAAATTCATAGGCAGTCTGTAAAGAAATACTGAGCAGGTGCAGATTATTTCCATCACTTTATGTTCTTGTGGATGAAATCAATTCTGAAAACACATGTATAAGAAAATTAGGATATACATATATACATACTATTATTGAGAGTAAATTGGTGTTTAAAATGAAATTAAATTCAGAACAATGCACGAAAGAATGGAACATTGAATGCATAATAAAATGTTTGCAATTCTACTGTTAATGCATGGTTTATAGCTGATATGGAGCATACCATTTTCCTTAAATTATGAATTAACTTGCTGCCTGAATGAATCCATTGGCCCAATTCTTTGGGAAAAGCTGCAATACATAATATATGCAATGAGATTATTAAATGAAATACATTGTAGAATAAAATGACATTACATATGACAAAACAAAATGGCAAATCTTGATATACTGTATGCTGCATTGAATTCATATTAAAGATAAATGGAAACAAAGTTGTGTTACAAAACTTTTCTGGGAAATTATATTAAAACCTCTGAAATTTACAAGAATAAGTAATTAGAATATATGAAAGAACATTCTTTCATCTTTACCAAAATGAAAAATAAATATAACTACACATGCATCCTTAAAATAATGTGAAATGCTTTAGAAGTATACATACCATGTGGAGAAATGGATGCATTTTGTATTTATTCATTCTCAAAGCCTGGAACTCTTGACAGCTACAATAATAAAAGTATTAATTTTATATATCATGTTGTTATAAAAAAAAAAAATACGTATAAATTACAGAATTTAATTGACTTGACTAAAAAACTAAAAAAAAATTTAAAAATATTTTATTCCCCATTAATTTAGAAATTGAGACCATAGATATAAAGTAGAGGTTTTATGTTTTCAACATAATGATACAGAAAATTTTTTTTTATATTATGGAGCATGTTTGTATGCCAAAAAGACAAGAATATTACATGTTTAGTAAATTATTGTCAACTCACTGACTGAGACAATGAAATTTCAAATCTAATTTAGTATTGTTGACCCCCCTCCCCCGCCCTTACTACACATATTGACTTTTGTCTCAAAGAAAATAAGCGAATTTGCAAGAACTCTGCACCACATATTCAGTACAATTACATTTTTAAAATTCTAATAAAAATGTGCAACTTTGTATGGGGATGTTGTGATTGGGGTGGGGGGATACATACAATCACAATGCACTGCATTAGTTTTTCACTGACTGTGATAATACATCTAAATGAACATGTACGAACTAACGATCGGATTTTTTCTTTGATGTTAACAAAGGAATATCTAGATATACATACATGTGCATACATACCTGGGCTAAATGTACTTCAGTGATGGATCTAGGGAGCTGATGCTGATCGTCTCACTCTTCCATTATTTTCCGAAATAATGTCTTTATATTTTCGTAATAGGGATAAACAACGCCTTACCTCTTATCTCATCCCTATTTTCTATAAAGATTCCCCGGTTATTGCATTTAAATCCACTGTATATCTCAGCTGATGTCGCCACGTTTGTAGATGTAAACCACAGGGGCCGGTAACATACTGTTTTTGATTTTACGTAATCACTATATATATACAAAAAAGGAAAGGGAAACAACGTCAGCCCGAATTTACACAGGGTCGATCTCGGAGATATTTTATTTCATAGAAAAAAGAATGTAGCCAATTAAATTATAACTAGAAACCATACTACAATAAATATTCTTTAATAAAACAGAAACCTCTTTACTTTTTATAGCGTTTAAGTTGGGTAATACTAACTCGACATCCCGTTGTGCGAGTCGATGTACTTTAAGTCGTCCACTAAAACGAGGCAAAATTCGCACATTTTCTCCAGTTTTGAAGTCTTTCCGGAGATGGAAAACACAAAGTAAAGATCCAGCGTTCACGAAAATCATCTTTTTCTTTTGTTAATTGCAATTCAAAGGTACAACATCTCCGATTTGAATAAATACGGTAGCTTTTTTCGTTCACAGAGAGGCTCGAGCCCAGAACAGACGACATTTTGGAAAAACCCATGATTGGTAAAAGGCGGAGCGTGATTGGTCAGATCTGTTCGAGAAAAGCACCACTGACTTATCACATCTCGCGTTAAATATTGGATGCAATGTTGAGCGAATTTAGTGGACGACTTAAACTACATCACTTGCATAACAGGATATCGGATCTGCAAAACACGACTGACACGATTCTTAAATGACCGCGATGGTATTTTTATTAAAGAGTGATTATTACTGAATGATCCCAGACGTTATTTCACTAACTGCAAGGTATTTTATTGAAAGCACGAGTCATTTCCGAGATCGACCCTGTGTAAATTCGTTCGAGCTGACGTTGTTTCCCTTTCTCTTTTGTATTCATATAGTGATTACGTAAAATCAAATACAGTATGTTACAGGCCCCTGTGATGTAAACAATATTCCGTGTCATCGAGTGCAAGCGCTTGGCTGAAGCCGAATGCAACCAAACGGCACATAAAAAGAGAATTATTTTAAAAACATGCTATTTTATGTAAGAGAAAATCATTAATAATTAATTATTTAGACATAAAAATATTGCCGTTTGTTACAAGTTCTGGCAAATATCGGTAAATAGTTATTATGTGCTCTTAAATACTGAAACTGATGAACAATTCGGTTCATGTGAACCTGAAGCACATTTGCAGCTCTGTTCTGCAGCATGTTAAATAATAAAGAGGGTGTGTGTGTGTATAGAGCATTTATTACAAATGCCAAATGAGATTACAGATTTTACAATATCAGAATGCAGCAGAAGGTGGGGCCCAAAAACATCCCACACCTTATACAAAAGAAAACTAGTACATATATTTTCTACAAAATTAACAATAAGTACCTTAAACAAAAGAAACTAGTACATCTATTTTCTACAATAACAAAAGTTATGCAATAACAATAGGCACCTTATATAAAAGAAACTAGTACATGTATTTTCTACAATAACAATAATTATGGAGGATTGAAGGGGTGGTGGTGGGTAAAATTTGTAAACCACATTTTTGGAGCCGAAATGTTATTCTGATAAGGATAAGGCTAATAGCCGTTACTAGAGGACGCTTAAGTATAGAACCCGGAAAACCCTTCGGGACCCATGAATTCAAACAAATTGGTAATTAATAAAAATATGCAATTTATTACGTATTTAGATCACATAAATTCCTTTATATACATAAATACACTTATGTGCTCTTAAATACTGAAACTGATGAACAATTCGGTTCATGTGAACCTGAAGCACATTTGCAGCTCTGTTCTGCAGCATGTTAAATAATAAAGAGGGTGTGTGTGTGTATAGAGCATTTATTACAAATGCCAAATGAGATTACAGATTTTACAATATCAGAATGCAGCAGAAGGTGGGGCCCAAAAACATCCCACAAGAGGGACAATGAACGTACAGAGAAGGGTCCCTCGCCCCACCCAAAAATGTGCTTCAGTTACTTAATGTATACAGCTTGATAACGATGTAAATACTAGCAAAACTATTCACAACATAGATCAATGGAATTCTAAGGATGGATAATAAAAATGTTAACTAAAATAAAATAAATACATAATCGAAAGTCATTAACGTACCAACCAGGAATAGAATTATTGCATATCTTGACAAAAACATGCAAATAATTCAAAAAGATATAAACTATTTATACAATCCTCGATATGATACCCAACAACGAATATATTCAGTGCCGCCTCAGACAGTCACCGAATACTTCGTGTACATGTATGTAAGTTTATAAAGTGAAGACAGATAAATTCATACACAACTCGAAAGTCATTAACGTACGTACCAGGAATAGAATTATTGCATATCTTGACAAAAGCATTTAAATAATTCAAAATGATATGAAATATTAATACAATCCTCGATATGATACTCAACAACGAATATATTCAGTGCCGCCTCAGACAGTCACCGAATACTTCGTGTATCTGTATGCAAGTGTATATTAGTATAAAGTGAAGGCAGATAAATTCATACACAACTCGAGAAAGTCATTAACGTACGTACCAGGAATAGAATAGTTGCATATCTTGACAAAAGCATTTAAATAATTCAAAATGATATGAAATATTAATACAATTCTCGATATGATAGTCAACAACGAATGTATTCAGTGCCGCCTCAGACAGTCACCGAATACTTCGTGTACCTGTATGTAAGTGTAGTATAAAGTGAAGGTAGATAAACTATGCAATGTTAAGCTTTCTCATGCATTATTATGATATTTAAAGCATGAAATTGACGCTTTTATGAGGTTATAGTATTAACAATTAAATTTAAAAAAAAGATGCAGAAAAATAGAGGATACCGCCTCAGACAGAATCCTCTATCTAGGTATTTAATACATTCAAATAATACAGAATAAGGGATACTTTCTCAACCATTTATCCTTTACAATCGGACTTTCTACCACCCTAAATGAAAACATATATGTACTAATAGGCGGGAAAATAGGAACCTTAATGTTCTCTGGAATGACACCAGTTGCAACCATCCCATATCTCATTTTGTGAGTCTTAAAAACATTAAAAAATGTGCCAGGGTGTTGCTGTAGCAAAAAGGGGTCCTTTGCAGCTAATTTCACCTACTGCAATTGGGTTGGGATTTTATTTCTAGATAGACCTTTATTTTACCTAAATTGTATTGAAAGTTGATTCATTGCAAGACTCCTTTAAACTCCCTTGTTGTCGTGCCTGAAAAGGTATATTTCCTCAAAGCAGCAAATATGGGTTTGAGTCTGAATGAACCGCGATTTCCCTTCCTCTCAGCAAAGATAAATTACAAAAAGGAACATAACCCTGTAGCAACATGTCCGTTACTAAGAATTGGCTATCTATGCCTAAATGGTATTGTCACTATTTTTTTTTTTTAATTTCGAATATTAAAAGTAATAGGCTGCACGCATCAACTGACCTAGCAAACTTTTTTGCTCCACTTAACATTTTACTGATTAACAAACGATTCAAGAAATCGGGGGTGTTTCGCATTTAAAAATAGTATATCCATGCTGCCAAGTGATATAGAGCTAGCTGATTTTCCTAAACTGAATAGGTACAGGTAAGACATAAGACATATAAACCTGTCCCAAGGAGACCACTTTAATGCACTTGGTCTATTGTTCACCCTGAATGAAACTCTTAAAACAATTTAGAGCATGCACGTACACTTACTTTGCAATAAGAGCTAAAGCGGAATCTAAAAAAAAAAAATACAGGCTGTGTTTGGAGAGTAAAAAAATAAGATTTTATGCTTAAATATCCACAAGCACTCTTTACCCAAAATATTGTAAAGAACCAACAATAATCTTCTTAAAAAAATGAATTTTCTGGTGTTTGTTAAGTTTACAATATGCAATAAACAGCTGTACTATCAGATTGGAATATGACAAATGAATTCTTTAAATAAGTCCCATAATTCAACAGCCAAAACAATTGGGAATAATTCATGAGGGCAATATTGCATTCTTTTTTTTTCTTTTTTTTTTTCTTTTTTTTTTTTTTTGCAAGATCCATATAATTTTCTATATTCTTTTTTTTTTTTATTATTATTATTTTTTTTAACAAACAATAACCATTACCCAAGAATCAGCTGTGGAGATGCATGTGTTTCGATGTAACCTTTATACATGGTATATGTTCAAATAACCACCGTATTAAGATACAAACTGTTTGTTTAAATTTCTTTGCAAATGTAGCTTTATTTTTCTCCAATTTCTCAGGTAGCAACATATTGGATTTTCCATTACCACTTGTCAAATTCAATTTAAGAAATACTAGCTTTGTAGATGCCCATGAAGTCTTTTTTATCCAACACAAGTAATTAAGAGAAAATGTCCATTGACTTTACCAATCCATTATAAGACCAAAGAAAGATCTTCAAAAGTTAGCAAAAGAACTAGACAACCCAAGTGAAAACCTTATCATATAATACGAGACTTTCCCAGTGAAAGCCCAGTAGTTCATGATCCTCTTTGTGACTGGGTATACACACCAAGCTGAGATACTCAGATGGTATAAAAGATCTTGCACCCTGATGTAAATCAAATCCATGCTTAATTCTGAAACCGAATATCTTTATAATGACATAATTGCTTAGGAATAAATATTCAAGGACATTAGGGATAATAGAGGTAAAAAAAAAAAAAAATAACTACATTACTTAAGGAATAATGTCAATTATCTGGGCTTTGCAAATTGTTCCCACACTCTAAACAAATGCATTGGAATTTGCAGTTTTCAAGCTTGCATAGCCCTTCCCTATTATATGGCTAGCAAATTTCTATGGAGATTTGCTTCTCTCTTTTTTTTTTGAAAGCCTTAGTCTAAACCTTGATCAGAAGGGGGAGATGGAAAGACCTGTAGTTTCCTCTCTTTATCCCTGTGTTTAAATGCCTGAAGCACAAATTACACACTAACCATTTCCGAAGACATACCCTTAAACTTGTCTATATATCCTAATTTGTTTATCAAAAGTTTGTCAAGGTTTACTTCTAGATGATG